GGGGGGGAGGTTATAAATGAAAAAAGTAGTAAAAGAAGAAAATATAGAGAACAAGATGAAATGCAGTACGCCGAGAAAGAGAATCAAGGAAAGAGGACGGGATGGCGAGGGGAATTAAAAGGAGATAAGAGGGTAAGCGGGAACAAAGCTCAAGTGCAGATACATGAAGGGAGATTTTTATGTTTCATGGTGAGATCAGGTCAAGCAAAGGCGAAAGAAGCGGAAGCAGGGGCAAAAGGGGGAATTTGAATATAAACGCGTAGAAAGAAAGCAAACAGATAGGTAGATAAGGTAGTTAGGTAGGTAGGCTGGTTTACCTTCCAGCACTTCACATCGTCTCATCTCATCTCGTCTCATCGCATCTCGTAACATGCTGCGCTATACGGCTACGGCAGCAGGGGGAAAAAGGGGCAGGGTAAGGTAAGGCTAGGCAGGTTTATATTATATGGCGGTAGGATGAACGTAGTCGCCCAATGAGCCGTCGTGGCCGGTGGCACCGCCACGCCTAAACTTCCAGCCAGTCTTCTTCTTTTCGCGGTTCTTCATCATCTCAGCCCATCCCTGCTCGTCGTCTTCGTCTTCTTCGCCTGTTCCGGGCGTGGTTGGGAGACCGGCTATAGATCCCCGACTGCCGTTACCCAGTCCCATTGGAGACGCACGGCGATTAATTGAGCTCACGGGGCGTACGGTGGGGGTGGTCTCGGAGGTCGAAGGGGTGGTGGCGCTTAGGTTGGTATTTGACTTGTTGGCGAGTATTTGGCCTAGTGGTGGTGGTCGTTCTTCAGCCCAGGGCCGCAGATTGTGGGCTGTGAATGTTGAGGAGCGGTTGGCGCCATTGGCTTGAGGGGCGATGGTTGAAACAGGGCGGTAGCGGGATGCAGCGCCGATGTTGCTGCGTTCAGAGGGGGCGACGGAGGGAGTGTAGCCTGGTGGTGGTCCGGAGCCCAAGCCGCCGCCCATGCCCATGCCTATTCCCATTCCCATGCCGAGTGGGGGACCAGACATGTCGGGCGTCATGAGGAACGAAGCGCGGTTTCCGGGGTTCTGATAGACGCTGGCAGTGGACGGGTCCAGCATGCTGAGGGTCCGGTGATCGACCTGTGGCGGCCCACGGAACTGAGAGGGCGTGGAGGTGGAGGCCATAGAGAAGGGCCGCTGGTTGGGGTTGGGCGGCTGCAAGAGAGACGCGGAGCTTGCGTTCATGTTGAGGTTTGGCATTGGGCCTCCTGGAGGTGGAGGCTGCTGCTGTTGCTGGGCCCCTTGCATCTGCATCATCTGTTGCATCCATTGCATCTGCATCTGCATCATGTTTGTCATTTGCTGAGAGACCTGCATCTGGGTCTGATCTGCTGGTCCACCGACGCTGCCTCCCTGCGGGTACGGGTGGTGATGATGATGGGGATTTATTGTTCCAGCACCACCTATTAGCCCGTTGGTGTTCATTCCGCTGACCATACCGGCCTGAGCTTGCTGATGTTGTTGTAGCTGTCCCAGGAGACCGCCCATCTGCATCTGGGGCTGTGGAGCAAGGAAGTTGGTATGGACCTGGGGAGCCGGGGACAGGTCATAGACGCCCTGTGCATTAGGACTGCCACGACGCATTGCACGAGCTCGTTCCTCAGAGGCAATGACACCGACCAGACCACCGGGGGGAAGACCTGGAGGACCAAGATTGACGGTGTTGAGGTTCACTCCCGGAGCACCACCGCCGAGAGCCAGGGATTCACGATGGGACGGGTTGACAAGGCTGGAGCCATAGTACGGGTCCTTGGGCAGGTTTCGGGCAAAGACAGGCAGGGTGCTTCGTTTTGATGGGCCTTCCTGCATGCCTGCAATCGAGGCAGCCCCTGCCTGGAAGGATGCATTCAGGTTTGGATTGGAGCGAGACGCAGCCAGGTGAGTGGGCGGACGGTTGCGGTGAGGGAAGCCATGGGCAGCGAGGATACCCAGTGGAACATCGTCGTCTTCTTCGCCGTCTGAAGGGGAGGATTTTGAGAGCCCAGCGCCTGGAGGGAGGCCCGGGGAGACGCCGGGGGAGCTGGAGGCGGTGTTTATATTAGGATTATTATTGATATTATTGGTGGTACTGTTGTTGTTATTGGAGTTGGCCACCTCCATGGGGTCGAGCACCGATCTGCGGTTCGGGTTACCGGCAACAGACTCAGCGCTTCCGGCCGGCCCGTTGGTGGACGCCTTCTTCTGCTCGCCAGTGATCTTCATCATCTGCTGGCGGTAGACAGAGAGGTGAGCTTCCTGCTTCTGTCTCTGGGCGGCGGCCTGCTTCCTCTTCTCGGTCTCATCTTCGTCGTCTTCGCTTTCGATCACGTCTTCTTCGTCGGAGCTGGGCTCGCTGGGGGCGTTCTGGGCTTTTTGCTGCTGGTACCGCTCGAACTGGGCGGGAGTCATGACCTTGTTGCCGGTCTTGGACGAGGCGAGGGAGGAGGCATAGTGGGAGTTCACGGAGGCGCTGGGGGGCATGTTTTTGCGGAAGGAAGAAGAGCTGTGGTACGGCTGACGGGGCACGGCGGAGAAGTCCTTGTCACTAGAGAAGAGCGAGGACACTTCCGGATCACGGTCACGGAGGTCTCGGAACCTGTCCCGGTCTGACGACGAGTAGATGTTGGGCGTAGAGCGAGAATTGGGCATGCTCGAGGCTGCAGCAGTAGCTCTGGCGTTGTTGGGGCTGGACTCATTCAGCTCGACGTTTTGTAATTGGTTGGCGAGCTTCTGGGAGAGAGCAAAGTCATCAGCCGCAATGAGGCTGTCTCGAGAATTCCGGCTGTGGTTCGAGGACAGGGGAGATAGGGGCGAAGGAGACACCACCCTTCTATCCTTTGCCGGCACACTAGGAGCAGGTCTCCCTGGCTATAAGTGTAAAACCTCAAGCGTTAGACGTATATGTGACCCATTGTAGGGAAGGGGGTGTAGATAGAGGTGGGAATGTCTCTCACCTGCGAAATATTGGTTGGTATGTTCTCGAGCACTCTGCTCCGGCGCTTGTCGACGCCTACGCCCTCGAAGATGTTGCCCATCTCGCCGGAGCCCTCGAGGGAGAGGTCGGTCTCCATGAGCTTTGGCGGAGTAGCCGTGCTGGTGGTGCTGTTTGTCATGGCCCGTTCCCGGTTGGTGCTCTCAGACTTCCGGGGCGTCGAGGTCTTGGAGGCCTTGGAGCCAAAGGAGAACGTCCTGCCCGAAGCGCGAATGGAGAAGGAGAAGGGCGACTCCGGGATGGGCGGCACTGGGATGGCATCGTGGGGGGAGTGGTCTGTCGACGAAGGCAGGGTGGACGAGGAGCTGTACCTTGCGGACGAGGCGCTGGAGCTGTCGTAGGGCTGCTTGCTGGAGGAGCCGTTGGAGGAGCCGGCCAGCTTGCCGGTTCTCGCGCTGACGGCGGTTCCGGGGACGTGGGAGGTGCTGCTGCTGGCCGGGGCGGGCTTCTGGATGCCGGCAAAGATGTTGTCTGGGTCCGGGTCGTCTGTGGCCGTGGACTTCTTGAGCGCAGAGACGGAGTCGAAGGAGTGACTGGCCCGGTGAGGCGGCCGTTCGAAGACGCGGAACGAGGGCTCTGGCGGCGGCGTCTCGTCCAGGACAGGGCCTGACTTGCGGCGGCCGAAGCCGGGTATCTTGATAGGCATGTCTTCTCTCTCTGGCTCTCTTCTTCTGTGTCTCTTCTGTCTATCTCTTTCCTTCTGGCTGTCCGTGTGGTGTCTATATCTCTTGTATATGGGGGTATGGCTATTTCGGAGTCTCAGGCGTAGTCGGAGGCGGCAAGGAGAGCAAGAAGAGCAAGCCTAGGTAGGGTCAGCAGTCAATTCACTGTCTCCAGTCTGTTCTCCAGTCTTTCTCCAGTCTTTCTTCAGTGTTTTCTTCAGTGTTTTCTTCAGTGTTTTCTTCAGTGTTTTCTTCAGGGTGTCTGCTGTTGTTGTCTTCTATCTGGAGGTGGTGATGCTGGCTTCACCTGAGACATGACACTGCACAGCTGAGCCACCACAGACAAAGACACAGCAAAGGAAGACAATAAAGATGCAGCAGAAGAAGCAGAAGCAGATAAATAGTAGTAGTAGTAGTAGTAGTAGTAGTAGTAGTAGAAGAAGAAGAAGAAGAAGAAGAAGAGGCAAAGAAGAGGCGGTGCTTCTACAGACCTGCTAGAATGTCTCAGCCGGCATCGCAGCAAAAGATGGACTGAAAGACCGCAAGAAGGGAATAACAGTAATAATAATAAGGGTAATAAGAGTAACCAATGCAGAGATTAGGAATAAATAGCAAGAAGCGAGGCCGAGAGTCGCGGCGAAGAACGAAGACGAAGACGAAGATGAAGAAGAAGAAGAAGAGAAGAGAAGAAGCGAAAGGGGCCAAAAGGAAGCAAAAAAGTCGAGGCCAGCAGGGATTCTCTTCTTCTTCTTCTTCTACACAGCGCGAGACAGCAAAGACGAGCTGAAGCGGCGACGACGACGACGACGAAGACGAAGACGAGGACGAAGAGAAGACGAAGAAGAGAAGACGAAGTCTGCCGCAGGTGGCGATGAAGGACCAGAAAGGCCTGTCGTCGTCAAGGTACGGCTCTAAAGAAGAGTCCACTGTCCTCCCCACGCCGGGTTTCAGCGTCGCCGGTGCTCCTGTTTGCCGATATCTACTTTATTTGCATGTGTATCTACGCTGTCTAACTGTCTGTCTAGGCCTCCTGTCGCCTGTCGCCTGTCAAGCGTCTGTCACTCTCTGGCTCGCGGTCTGTCGGCTTTCCCAGGTGCCAACTTCGTCTCTCTTCGCCTTCGTCCCAGGCCCAGGTCGAGGACAGCTCAGGGCAGGCCTATCAGATCAGCGAGGACTGCATGAAGGGAAAAAAAGAGAAGAAGAAGAAGAAAAGAAAAAGGCGAGGAGCTACATAACTAGTCGGGAAGCTTGCTGGGGGAGATGCTGGGATGATGCTGCGTGTCCATGTTTGCTTTTTCAGCGAGAGACAATCGCATTGAAAAAAATAAAAAAAAAGAAGAGACGGACGCATGAAGAATCGACGAGAAGGAAGACGGAGAAGCAGACGAAGACGACGAACTGAGATCGTCGGTCGTGGTCGGTGATAGTCTGGCTGGCTGTGTCACGGCTTGCTGGTGGTGATGGTGGTGATGGTGATAGTTGACGCTGATATACGGCTCCCCTACGTGTCTCCAGTGACGGCGGCGACGAGTGACAGCGAGGACAGGCAGAAGGTAAACAGAAGACGAAGACGAAGAAGAAGAAGGTCAAGGTTGATGTCAGAGTTTGAAAGGGGCGCCCATGGATCAGCGAGTCGTAGTTGTCAACCAGATGTCAACTCTGCTACGTACATAAAAGTAGAGTTACAGGACAAAAAGTAAGAAGAATGAGTGAAAGTCTCTACATGGTGTGCGCATTCAGGCCTCCGATCAGAGCTACTCCGGCAGGCGGCTGGACGGCAACGATGTTGAAGCATGCAAAGGCCATCACCTTGCGCAGCGCCGGACAGGCCTTGAACAGTCGGCGCATCACCACGTCGTCGATGCGCGTGTGGAAGGACAGGTCGATCTCGCGCAGGTGAGGGTACGTCTGGCCCTCGCCAAAGACTTCCTCCAGTGCCTTGAAGCCCACCTGGCGGCAGGACGAGATGGTCAGATGCTCGAGCTTCTCGCCGGAGTGGGACATCATGGCTCGGAAGCCGTCACTGCCCAGGCCGGGATTGTCGTTGTTGTTAGAATTGCTATTGGAATCGGAATTGTCACCATTACCAGCACCAGGCATCAGAAATAGAGGCTCGAGGGAGCGGTTGCTGGCAAAGTCGATAAAGGTCAGCGGCGGGTTTGGCCAGTCCGTGAAGAGAGATGCCAGTGCAGCGTCAGTAAAGGTCTCGTTGTGGGATAGACGCAGCTTGCTCAGGTGCCGGGCAGTCTCATGGATGATTGCCAGGCTGGAATTGTCCATCGGCTTGAAGTGCTTGAGTGAGAGCGTGCGAAGACCGCCGCATCTCGCTTTCAACAGTGCATTGATGCTCTCCAGGTCTCGTTCATTCACCACCCTGTAGTCGGGGTGGCCCTCCTCATGGCGATGTCGCATGTCCAGAGATAGATACTCCAGCTTGTCCAGCTTGGCTATAGACTTGAGACAGTCATATGTCAATTTCCAGCAGTCCGTCAGCTTCAGACGGCGTAGATTGGGGCAGTTCGAGACCATCACCTCGACAGTCTCGTCGTTGAAGGCGCAGTCCAGGTACGATAGCTTGACGGTCTCCAGCTTTGAGCCGCACGTCTGGAAGAACCGCCGCCAGCAGTCTTCTGTCACAAGATTGGTGGCATCCAGGATCAGATGCTTGATGTGGCTCTCGCGGCTCATCACATACTCCAGCACACCGTCCTTGAGCTGTCCTGCACAGCATAGGTTGACTCGCTCCAGGAACGGCATCGTCGCAAACACCCTGTGAAAGTCCTCTTCCTCCAGTTCTACCACAGTCAGCACACTCCATACCACCGATAGTATCATACCGTAGTTATATCTACTTACTAGCTGCATCGAAGATATCAATCGTGTTGACGTCACTGCGCAGAAAGAGTCCCAGGGTCCGCGGCGTGAGCATCCGCCGCTTGCTCAGAATCTGGCTGAGCCGCAACCGCAGTTCCCCAGGCAGATCCCCAAACTCCTCCACATCGTTGATATTGTTTGCCACTTGCTATAGCATCGTCAGTTATACCTGTTCCTGAAACTCTGGAGCTGGAGCTGGAGTAAGGGGGAGGGGAGGAGAGGAGAAACAAAGTACCCACCCTGATACACATCTCCAGCAAGCTAAATGCCCCCCGCTGCGCAATGCCGTCCAGCAGGTTACTGTTCATCTGTCTCGTCGCCCTGGCTCTCTGCCTCTTCGGCTTGGGTTTGGGCCTTCTTCTCGTCAGCCGCCATCTGCTTGCCGCAAGGGGTGCACAGGAGCCCGCCGTCGGGTCCCGTCTTGCTGTACGCGGTCACCGTGAACCGCTTATCACACAGCTCGCAGTTGGCCAGCTGGCCCGGCGCGGGTACGCGTGCCTGGTTAAACGCCTCCTCGTAGTCCTCATCATCGTCGTCGTCAGAGACATCCTGTCCTCGACGTCTCGCTTTGGCCTTTGCCATTGCCTTGGCTTTGGCTGTTGCTGCTGCCGTGGCTGCGGTGCGTTTGCGTTTCCTGGCTTTGGCCTGCTGGGCTGCTGCTTCAGCTGCTGCCTCAGCTTCGGCCTCAGCTTCAGCTTCATTGTCTGCTAGTGCTTCCTGCGCTGCATCTCCTGCTAGCCTGGCTTCTTCCTGTTCTTCCTGGGCCCGGACTGCCTGGTTCTGGCGCTGGGCCTGGCTGGCTCTCTGGTTGGCTGTCTGCCTGATATCAGCTGCAGAGATGTTATGTGCCTGCTCCTGTCAGCTCTATCGCACGTTTATAGATGTAGAGAGACACCTACAGCTAGGAAATCAGTTAATGCAGAGCGTCTACATCATTCTATTAGCTCTTCTTTCTCTTCATCTAAGATCTTCATGGTATATAGCAGACTCACGGCCCCTGGATGCGGCGTCTCGGATTTGACCTACAGTTAGTTAGCAATAGAAGAAGCAGTGCATGTTCACTCGAGGCACACTCACATCTTCTCGCCCCTTTTTCTTAACTTGTCTTCTTCTTATCATCTACTCTCTGATTTATGTCTTCTAGAAGTCCTTTTTATGTCCTTCATGGATGTCTTTAAGTGGTTTTTGCATTCACGTGATCACGTGCCGCGATTTTACTTTTCTTACGCGTTTCAGAGACTTAGCAGGTTACGAGATGGCAAGACAGAAAGATATTATAGGATAGAAGAGGAAGAAGAAGACATAAAAAGGTGAAGAAGAAGAGAAGAAGAAGAGAATAAGCAGAAAAGGGATAAAGAAAAGGATAGAGAGGAGATAAAAGACTAACAAGAAGTCTCAGTGCGATGGCGGATGGCAAAAGTAGGTACTCCTTCTCCATGGCTGGATCCATGCTAAATCTCTGCCAGAAACCCCCCTTGGCCAGGCAGCAACCCGCCGCAGCTCCAGAGTAGCCTCTGCATCCAAGAGAGAGGAGCCAGAGACGCCCATGTCTATGCCAAAGAGACAGGTAAACATCATGGTGGCCATCCCAGTGAAAAAGGGCAGCCTCTCGGCCTCAGCCTCAGCCTCAACCACCTCGACCTCGGCCTCGTCCTCCACGGCCGGCCAGAGTCCCGTTGGGTACAGCACGCCCGCTACTACGGCCACTGCAACGCCGAACAATGAGCCAGAGTCGAGCACTAGAGCCTCGAGAAGAGTCAATGCTACTGCTCGTGCTCTAGAGTTGAGGAACAGCTCCCTCAGCTTGAACAGCAGGAAGAGAACAGCCAACGCCAGCAGCAGCAGACCAAATACGATTGACGATGAGAAACTGGCTGCTGCACTCCAGGCTGAAGAGTACAATGCCAGACCTACTGCGAAGAAACAGAAGATCACCCGTGGCAGCTCAAAAGCTAGGCCTGTCATACCTGATTCTGAGTCTGACTCTGAGCAAGAGTCAGAGTCAGAGTCAGAGCCAGAGTCAGATTCAGAAGAGTGGTTCAGCATAAATGAGGAGGTTATCAAAAATACTCCCAAGAAGCCATCTAAGAGAACGGCCAGGGGCTATCGAGAAGACTCACCCTCAGACGCCGACCAGAATAGCGTGGTGGGCATGGTGACTGACTCCATGGACTCGAGCCAGCTGTCAGACATAAGCTCAATCTCAGACTCAGAAGACTCAGATGATTTAGCCCCGAGTTTAGACCGGAGTGCCCGCTTTCGTCGCCTGCAACGTTCATTAGAAGCAAGCAAACCTACAAGGGTAAGGTCATCTTCCTGGGATTCTAATGTCAGTCAAGTCATACTAACCTTCTGCCAGGCTCAGAAGGAACGGATCAAGCTTGAGAGACAACATCCCCAAATTATAGATATGTGGGAGAAGCTAGATCAGAAACCTATCCTGACGCCCCCTCCTGCTGCTCAGCCAGAAGGCATTAATAGGAAGTTGAAGCCCTTCCAGCTCGAGGGACTTAGCTGGATGCTAGCCCAGGAGGAGTCGGAGTGGAAGGGAGGCTTGCTTGGAGACGAGATGGGCATGGGCAAAACTATTCAGGCTGTCTCTCTGCTGATGTCAGACTATCCTGTTGGAAAGCCCTCGTTGGTCGTCGTCCCTCCTGTGGCCTTGATGCAATGGCAGGCCGAAATAGAGGTAAGCACCACTTCTTGAATATTCCATACTAGACAAGATCAAGCTGACATTTCATTAGTCCTATACCGACGGCAAGCTGAAAGTGTTTGTCTACCATAACGCCAATTCCAAGGTCAAGGACGTCAAAGCTAAAGAACTCAAGACCTACGACGTCATCATGGTATCATGTATGTTCTCCTGGCCTGCAAGTTGGATCAACTCATCTTTTAACCCCCTTTTTTTAGATTCCGGTTTAGAATCAATGTATCGCAAGGAAACCAAGGGCTGGAAACGAGACGGTGGACTGGTTAAAGGCACCAGCATGCTTCACTCCATTGAATTCCACCGCCTCATCCTCGATGAAGCCCATAATATCAAGCAGCGTACCACCAGCGTGGCCAAGGCCTGCTTCGCGCTAAAGTCAACGTACAAGTGGTGTCTGTCTGGAACCCCCGTGCAGAATCGAATCGGCGAGTTCTTCTCTCTTCTTCGCTTCTTGGAAATCAAACCGTTTGCATGCTATTTCTGCAAGAATTGTCCCTGCGAGGCTCTCCATTGGACGCAGGACACACAAAAGAAGTGCACTCTTTGCAATCATAGGTATGTCACCATCACACTCAGCTTAAAGTCAAGAAGATACTGACATATCTCGACTATCAGTGGATTCAACCATGTCTCCGTATTCAACCAAGAGATTCTCAACCCAAGTAAGTTGATGTTATGAGATGCTTTTTTCCTTGGTAGATGCCAGACTAACGGATAGTAGTTACCGAGACTCGAGGCAACGATGAAAAGCGCAAGGACGCCTTGAAGAAACTGCGCCTTCTCACTGACAGAATCATGCTTCGACGAGTAAAGAGAGACCATACTTCGTCCATGGAACTTCCCCCAAAGAGGTAAGTATCTTCAGAGCCACTCTGCCAAAGTATGACTCTAACCTCCGCAGAATCGAAATTCACCGCGAGTTCTTTGGAGAGATAGAGCAAGATTTCTCCCGAAGCATCATGACCAACACTACCCGCCAGTTCGACCGCTACGTCAGCCGCGGAGTCATGCTCAACAACTATGCCAATATTTTCGGCCTAATCATGCAGATGCGCCAGGTAGCTAATCATCCAGACCTGATCCTCAAGAAACACGCAGAAGGCGGCCAGAACATCCTGGTCTGCTGCATCTGCGACGAGCCCGCCGAGGAACCAATTCGTTCCCGATGTAAACACGAATTCTGCCGCCAGTGCGCAAAGGAGTACATGGCCTCGGTCCAGTACGGCTCCGAGCCAGACTGTCCACGCTGCCACCTGCCGCTCTCCATCGACTTTGAACAGCCCGATATCGAACAAGATGAAAGCGGCGTCAAGAAGAACTCCATCATCAACCGCATCAAAATGGAGAACTGGACCTCTTCAACCAAGATCGAGATGCTGGTCTTCGACCTGTGTCAACTACGAAACAAGAAACGCACCAACAAGTCCATCGTCTTCTCGCAGTTCACCTCCATGCTGCAGCTGGTTGAATGGCGACTACACAGAGCAGGTATCAGCACCGTCATGCTAGACGGCAGCATGTCGCCTGTCCAACGACAGCGGTCCATCGACTATTTCATGAAAAACGTCGATACAGAGGTATTCCTCGTCTCTCTCAAGGCCGGTGGTGTCGCTCTCAACCTCACCGAAGCCTCACGGGTATTCATCGTCGATCCGTACGTCGTTTCTCTCCCTTAAAATCCCCCTTTCAACATAAAAGTTACGTCCCACTAACTAACCAATGGCATAGATGGTGGAACCCAGCTGCAGAATGGCAATCCGCCGACCGATGCCATCGAATCGGCCAACGACGCCCCTGCGTGATCACCCGTCTGTGCATCGAAGATTCCGTCGAGTCTCGCATGGTCCTGCTGCAGGAGAAAAAAGCCAACATGATCAACGGCACGATTAACAAGGACCAAAGCGAGGCGCTAGAGAGGTTGACGCCAGAGGACATGCAGTTCCTCTTCCGCGGAAACTAATCTCTCCCCATAACCAATTTAGATGACTTTGTATGTGTACATATATGAAACTGAAACGTTTGATATGTTTGGTTCAGGAACAGCAAGCTTTAGGTTGTTCCTGAAAGTTGTCCACTCAACCTTGGGACCTGGCTAGAGGTGGCGAAGTCCAAACGTGGTGAAGTTGACCTGTTGAGCCCCTGAAGAGAATGGCCGACCTGGTTAGTGAGGATGGGCACGCCCGCCGTCGATCAGCGGCAGCAAGTAGACACCGTGTCTATCCCCCGATAAGGTGCCATGGCGGAGGGATCAGGATCAGACGGCTAGATAGACGGGCTAGATGATGTAACTACCGCTGCTAGGTCCTCCATTAGTCTCAAGTCCTGATAGTTCCTGTTGTTAAGTCCATCTTTTCATCCCTTGAGAGCAGCCAAGAAGCAGTTCAGGAGAATAACACGGGGTGGCCAGTGCGTCCTCACATCCAACTAACGACTCCTCCTAACTGCGACTCCTTTGACATCACCAACATCCATCGTGCAACGACAGGAATAGCCACTCTTACGACTGCAGCTGAGCCACCCAACACTCAATCGTCTATCCAACAGAGTAACCTAACGCGCAATGCGACGGCCAGCGGATGACCCCGCCAGAAAATTATTCGACTCCATCAGCCTGACACGCACCTCCTGTAACCACAGAAACCGCTGGCACCCTCTGCCGGCCTTCTTCTCATTGCATATGCGCGCAGCCGGCAAACTAACTCGTAACGCGCATGCACTTGCTCATATATTCACTGGCTAGTGAAAATCGGAGCTGAAGCGAGCCGGGGTCAAGGGGATCAAGGGGACAGCCCTCCCAGCCACCAGCCTTACACCACCTTGCACCCACATCTACCGCACCATGCACTACTGAACAGGCGTCTAATCGAATGAGCGATGGCAGAGAAGCGAAAACTGTGGCTAGTGACGGGCCAGGGAGAACACGCCATGCTCCACTACGGCCTTTGCTGTGCGAACTCTGACTGGCGCAGGAAGTGAACAAGCATTTAGGGGGGCTGATGCCCTCATTGCCGGCTCGCTTCTCTTGAGATTGCTACTGATTCTTAGCGGGTGTGCAATATATCCCCTCGTTTGGCGTCGTTTCTCTTCCTCTCCTCTCCCTTCCTCGCCTATTCTCACATACAATCATATTCTTCGCATACTTACACTGCTTGATAGGCATAAGTACGTTGAGACGTGGCTCTGGTGGGTATACTAGATACACACCACCATGGCAGCCCTAGGCGCAGAACAGACAAACGGGAATACCACCAATGGAACAAACGCAAACTCACGCCAGAGACGGGCTTCAGAATCTCATCTGCCATCGGCAAACCACACAGGCCCAGCAGGAGGCTATGATGTCACCCCCATGCCTCCCGCGCCGCCAGGATGGACGCTCAAGTTCACCTTCCACCGCGCAGAGCACCTGCCCATAGGTGACCTCAGCACCATGGCCTCCGACCCTTACATCAACGCCATACTCGAGACCGGTCTGCCCACCCGCCATCCAAAACAAGATCCTATTTTCTCCTTCCGCACACCCACGGTGAGACGTACCATCAACCCTGAATGGAACTGCGAGTGGATAGTTGCAAACGTTCCCTCCTCCGGCTTCCACTTAAAATGTCGTATCTACGATGAGGATCTAGCCGATAGCGATGACCGGCTGGGAAGCGCCTATGTCGAAGTCAGGGATACCATTTCAGAATCCTGGCCAGGTATAAAGCAGCAGGGTTTCAAGATCAGGAAGCGCATGGGTAGTCAGAGAGCTTACTTGCTACGAACCATTGCCTCGGCATTCTCTAAGCATGTCGATAATGAAGGAATGCTGTACATGAGCGTTGAGTGTCTGGGTAGAACACCCGGAAATGAAGGAGCTCACTTATACACTGTTGGACCAAACCACTGGACCAAGCATTTCTCTCCGCTGATCGGCAGATTAGCAGGCACAAAAGACAAGGTCAAGAGCAAGGATGGCAAGCCGTCTGTTTCCCGGTACAAGTAAGTTGACCCATGCCTTAAGACGTTACCTAAATATCAAATGAAATGGTATGATGCTGACGGGAATAGCTTCCAAGCGGTGCAGATACAGCTGACTGGACCCGTGCCGACACCACTGTATCATCGTTACGTTGAATTCCGTCCCTTCGTGGCTGGCATGTTCACTGCGAAAAGCCTCAGGGGCCGTTTGCTCAATCATGCATTGCACCACCAGCATGAACGCATTTACACATACGATCACAGCACTGTCTACGGTGTCTTCCCCGAGCCCTGCATCGATCTGACAAAGCTCTTCCTCGAGTTTGTCCAGTACGGCCAGGGCGGGCGTATTTTCACCTACGTCATCACTCTAGACGGCCAATGGCGCTTTACAGAGACTGGCAAGGAGTTTGGAATCGACCTGCTCAGCAAACATACCATGCACAGCGATGTATCAATCTACATCGCTTACTCCGGTGAATTCTTCGTTCGCAAGATCTCAGGCGATAAGTCTTCTTCCCATGATAATCACCGGCACCGTCGTTCCACCTCTGCCGAAACAGAAGCCTCAGAATCTGAACACGAACCATCTACCGACCCAGCACATTACGAACTCATCATCGACAACGACAGTGGTACTTATCGGCCCAATGGTAGACTCTTGCCTCTCTTACAAGAGTTTCTAACTCACAATCTACCCGGCCTAAAGATATCTACCCTAGATTCCCAGACTGATGCCACGCGCATGGCCAAACTCAAGGGCAAGCGGCGTGAGATAAAGAACAAGTCTAGCCATAGAATGATGTACCTGCAAAAGAGCTCATCTTCCCTCTCTCTCTCATCTCTATCAAGTTCAGATGAAGAGGATATCAATGAAAGAGAGAATGGCATAAACTCGAATAACAACCCGGCCAAGACTAAACGGTTTATGAATGGTCTAAAGAATCCTAAGGGCAGATACAAGCGGTGGCTGGAAGCAGACTACGAACATACGAATGGTCGAAAAGAAGAACGGCCCTCCACTGCCCATAATTGATTTCTCGGTATTTACTTTTCTGCTGCTCCGTTTTAGCAAGAGATGTATTCCGGCTTTCTCATCTTTCGTTGTTCAGTTATTTCGTTGTTTTGGACTTGGAGCTTCTTGATACCCCTGGAGGAAGCTGGATTGGTCAATCTCGGGCCACACATGAATGCATCACGCTGTTATGATAATGACCAGATAAGCTACACCGTATAGAGATGTTTCTTAATGAGACAAATGATTAGGGTATATTGATACAAAGGGTATATCTGCTAGTCACACACACATATATATAGGCTTTCAAAGGTCATTACTATCATCCCCGTAAAGGCAATATCTTCGACGCAATAGCTTCCTGTCTGCATAAAGGACACTCCGGCTTCTCCTGCACCCAGTCCCGTATACACGTCCAGCAAAAGACATGCCCACACGTCGATACACTTGGGTCTTTAAACGGGTCAAGACAGAGAGTACACTTCCTCTGTGGCCCGGCAGGTATCCATGACATGGCCAGAGCATCTTTCTCAACAGACATATCATACCTCGCTTCCTCCGGTGCCAGCAATGTCATTCCGTCCGGCATGCTGATACTCTTCAATCCAGGTGTTCCCGCACCCTTAGCCGCCGAGTCCGTGGCAGATACCTGCCCTGCCTCCTCCAGCTGAATCGACTCGATAACTTCCTTCGCGTGCACGATCGCCTGCACAGCAATTTGCAATACAAGCAGTACTCCCAAGACTTCATACCCGATCCTCTCCTCGCTATCGCCGATGCGTTTGGTAAATACGTATCGTAACCCCCATACCCGTTTGGATAGATGATAATATGCCCCCGAGAAGTAAAACGCTGCCAAATTCACAGCAAAGAAAGGTGAAAGAGATGTAATCGAGTTCAAATGTTCAAGGATATATCGCTGAACCCGTAACGAAAAGCCTGCTTCTTTTCTCTTCTTGGTATTCCCCTTCTCCAACTCAAGCCTAGCCTGTCTCCGCGCAATGCTTCGTTCAAGCTTAATTCGTAACTTTCGTCGAAACGAAGGTAGTAAGCGCTGTAAAATAGAAGGCACCAGTATCGAGCTAACGATATATCCTGCCCTTCGACCTAGGCTCGGAAGCTGTAGCGTATCGTCTTCAAGCTGTACTACATCGCAGTATTCTTCGCCTAGGGTCCTGTTGCCCAGCAGCGTTGTGAGGGAGAGGTAGAGTACTTCAATGGCATGCTTGATGGCGTCAGAATGAGCATGGGCGTATTGTTGGCCTCGGAGGGTGCGGATGATGGACTGGGCTTGTGTGGAGAGCGTGCTGGTGATGTAGTTGTCTTTCTCGTGCGCGCGGATGATATCCGGGGATGTCGCCCAAGGGAAGAAGTAGGATGGTTTGGGCGTCTTGCTGAGCGCCGCATCCGCCATGGACGAGTCAAACAGGCTATCCGACGACATCTTGTCTGTTGATATTGGTATTCTCCGCCGTCTGCAGCAACCCTTATTTCTCGTTATCATCTCGTCTTCTCGCTGGCGTTTCTTTCTGATGTCAAAACTTACCTCGGCCTGTGATAAGCTTTCACGTGACTTCCCGTGACGATTTTGCGGCTCAAAAAATTAAAAAGCGTCAAAAAGTTGGAGAAACCAAGAAGAATCAACAAAAGACGAAACAAACTGGTTGGTGGTTCAACGTCTTCTTGTTTCCTGTCTTTGCGCTTTTGTCTTTCCTTTCGTTTTGTTTCCTTTTTGGCCCAGCCAGTGGTTTTCGATGGAATATGGAGTCTGGCACTCTAGAGTCCCCCAAGCTAGACGGGTTCAGTCTTGTCTTGCCTCTGCCTTATCGTGTTGCCGTTATATTAGTCGCTGGTATGTTGAACTAAGAGCCGAAACGCCCCAGTGGACTAGCCATCTAATACCCGTCTAGGCGTGTGGGGATGGGGATTGAACGTCCAGTACCTCACGGCTGTCAAAATAGTACGTCATCTATTCTGCTCTTGCTTGCCCACACCAGGGGCTAATTCTTCCTAGGATGTCCCGGCTTTAATACGATATCCATCTCGACCTAATACCGCCGGCACCGTTACCGTTCACCGGTCGACATACCACCTTGCAACCCTCCTTTCCATTCCGCTAGCTATCTCCCTTCTCGCATTCTGGTTCATTACGTACGGCGACCCAGCACGAGTCATTGCTTGGGAGGTTTTGCCGCAATCATACCTGTTCCTTTTTATTGTACTACTTGCGTTCCCGCTCCATCGTCTCTCGCGTGGAGGAAGATACAGATTCTTGACCACGCTCAAACGTGTCAGCTTAGGGGGACTTGCTGAATCCCAGGATGGCAAATTCGGCGATATCATACTTGCTGATGTGCTTACCAGCTACTCCAAAGTGATCGGAGACCTTTTCGTGAGCTCGTGCATGTTCATCTCGAGTGATGCCTCCAGCACCAGCATACCTGATAGAGCTTGTGGTGGCCATATAGCGGTACCTTTACTCATCGCTGTTCCGAGCATCATCCGGCTACGACAATGCTTGATCGAATTCTTCCGAGTATATAGACGTGGGAATCGCCGTGTTGATGGCTGGGGTGGTCAGCATCTTGCCAATGCTGCTAAATACGCTACAGCACTGCCTGTGATTGCTTTGACTATGCTACAGCGCAATTATGATGCGTCCATCATCGGAGTGAGCGAAGAAACGTTGCATAAACTATGGTATGCTCATTTTTACTCTACGCTCCCCTTAAGCCTGCTTCTAACTTCAAGCAGGATACTCTCTGCCATCATCAACTCCTCATATACTTTCTATTGGGATATCGACAAGGATTGGGACCTCTGTCTTTTCTCCGATATCGTGGGCCAGTTCCGTCCTACTTCTACTCTGAGAGAGGAAAACCCGCACCCATTTGGGCTTCGCGCAAATCGTTTCTTCCACGCCAATGCCATCTACTACTCTGCCATTGTGATTGACCTGGTCCTACGATTTACCTGGCTCAGCCGACTAACCACACGATTGAACTGGGTCAACGATCTGGAGAGCGGAGTGTTTGCTCTTATGTTTTTAGAAGTTATCAGACGATGGCTTTGGATTTTCCTGAGAGTCGAAACTGAATGGGGTGAGTCTTTTATTCCTACAGAGTACTTTTAGTTGAGCAGAATTGCTAACTCAATGTTCAGTCCGGAATACCCGTGGCCCGGCTCCTGATGATATTCTACTTGGGGAATTCACCAAGATGGATGAAGATTAAATGTTCTTCCCTTTCCTATTGTACATATATTAATGGCCGGGATTTTCGTATTCAATACCCCTTAAATATCCTTTATCCTGTATTACCACTGTTCTCACGAGATTATAGAGGGTCCAGAGAAGATGTTAAATGTTTTCGATATTTCATTATGTTTGATGATATGATACGTTGACTGCTCTGATTAGACGCGAAAGCTAGATAGGCTATGAATAAGTTATCATACCCTAAACCCAGTGGCCGACGTTCAAGGTCATAAATAGATTGAATGCCATCTAATCCAATTTCCTGTATATGGCTATAAACAACATGGTCATGGAATGGCTGGCTTCGAGAAATACAATGCCCCCGATTCAGACCCCAATTTTCGGCATTGCCACAGCTTTCTGCAGCTTCGGTCTCACTGTGGCAGTGGGTGTTAGCTCTAGGCATGAAGTAGAGTCAGGTATGTATGTGGTGGGTCTTAATGGCGTCTTTTTCTTGATTATGAGGTCAGTCTAATCCTTCAAGCTACTATAAATGCCGCAATATTGAATGATTTGTATCCTTCAGCTACTAATCACCTCGGTAAACGAATCATGCTTTATCAATCTATAAACGCTATTTATATTGAACATTAAACGCGTTCGATCGTAAGCGCAAAGTCTAAAATAGCCGCCCGTCTAAAGGGGAAAGCTCGGGCCGCGCTAGCTTAACTAACTACCTAGTTAAGGTTTCCCGAAGTTTATTTTTTCCTCCTCCTTCCATATGTTGGATGCTAGTTTATGTGGACACACATAGTGTTACCATTACAACTCCATGGAGTACAAGGTACAGAACTACCTAAAGTGGGAGATGAGGGGCTAGGTGACATAAAAATTACTTTTTTTTCATTAAATGCCCTAGAACTAGAGGGTTGGAGAATAATCTCCCCACTTAGTCACTCCATGCGCCTTATCAGCGCTGGCAAGGAAGGCTGCTTTCCCAGTCCTTAAAGGCTTCTTAAGGCTTGCGGCACCCTATCTACTCTCCTTTGTCCCGTTTAAATGACAATGGCATCCTCATAAGGTCAGGCTTATAACTCTAGATAACTTCTTGGTTATCTTGTTGCTTTGTCTCATGTTTCCCATTCACTCAGCACAAATGGCGTTCAGCAGCTTCATGGCGAAGCGATGGACTCGAAGGCGCCTTCATCTGCTTATTGCGTTGATTCTGACTGCTATTATCTACTTATCCCTGTGCAGCTTTGATATCATCATACCGCTGAAGACCGCATTGCCATATTCTCGGTATGGACATCGGTTTCGTCACGGCAGCCATGGAGGCAAACCAACAAAACCATACGTTCCCCGGGCGGCTAGAAAAGACGATAATACCGTTGAAATGGTTATAGCTAGCAAGAAAAGTGAGAATGTCACTTGGCTACACGATTACCTTCCAAACTGGAAGAAGAACATATATGTCGTGGATAACAGTTCTGCCGAGTTGACTGTTCCGCAAGATAAAGGAAGGGAAGCGATGGTATTCTTAACGTAGGCTACCTTGTTTTTTGAGAAGTAGTTATACAGTCATGATTCTAATTGAGCGTCCAGATACCTAATTGACCGCTACGACTCACTTCCCGGCAACGTGTTCTTTCACCATGCGCAGCGGTTCCAATGGCACAATGACGACCCCAACTACGACGCGCTCAACCTCCTACAGCAGTTCCGTCTCGACCACCTCAAGGAGGAAGGTTATACTAACTTACGCTGTGACTGGGCTCTAGGCTGTCCCTCCGCTATCAGACCCTGGGTGGATGCCATTGTATTCCTACCCAACGAACACATATCATCAAAACATGTCTACAAGAAATCCTTTGAACAACTATTCCCAGACCAGGGCGTTCCGGAAACCGTGGGCGTTGCATGCTGCTCGCAATTTGCCGTGCGTCGAGAAATAATACAGCAACGCCCAAAGTCGGATTACATTCGTTATCGGAAATGGCTACTCGACAGCGAACTCAGCGATCAACTAAGCGGGCGCGTGTTCGAGTACTCATGGCACAGTATGTCATACTCACAACACGTATATCTAACTTGCAACTTTGCGCTAATATGGAATCACTTAGTTATGTTTGGCAAGAAAGCCATACATTGTCCCAACGCTAGTACTTGCTACTGCAAAATGTACGGATTATGCCATATGACCTGCCAGTCTAAACGCTGCGATGGCCAGTATTTCCTGCCTAAGTACGCGGATCTTCCTAAGGGATGGCCGAAGGTAGGTTGGGATAATGAAGACAGACACTGGTCCGGGCCAGAATAGGAGGACGCTTTCTTTGAGTTTCTATTTCTTCTGGAGTTTATCTGGCTGGGTATGGGGGGGCATAAGCGATCTAGAGTTTTCTCCTTTGCTATTTCGGCGACAAGCCGCTGTAGTAATTATGTTGTAGATACCCGTTTCTTGAAAGTGCTGGTAACATTCTCCAATTGAACGTTGTGAGCAGTTAGCGATTTCACCCGCCAGTAGTAAGGGTAGGCCAAATTATACAACCGCTTGTTGGTAAATAAAATCAACGTCTCCGCCCACCACTGTTATCGATGTGTTGGACATGAATGACTTGAAGAGTGAGTTGGCAGAGTATACACGGCAATATGCATGGGTGAAATAGCAAATATACCCCCTTGGACGACTGGTGATACAGCAAGGCATTATGACGTCTTAATTACACGAAGAAACTTGGCCGGTAACTAGCATGATAAGACGGGAACTGTTTTCAAAATACAAGCAAGAAAAATAAAGACCAAATCTTCCTCTGACTTCCTAGCCAACGCCATTGATGATGGAAAAAGGAAAGAGGAAGTGGAAGCCGAAACCCGAAACCATGTCTAGAGGCCAAAGGATACCCAAAAGAACAAGCATTTTATTTTATATATCTACTCTTCGTCCTCAGCAACCTACAGTCGGGATGGTTAGCAGAGGCGACGACAGGAAGAATAAGCGCTAGGCTGATGTTCAACTTACCCCTTCGTGAAAATTTTTGCCCTCGGTGGTCTCCTTAATGATACCAGCACGAATACACCAATCTCCAAACCGTTCAGGCTGGTCACCATCCGTTTGGCGTTCAAGAGCATACCTCTTCAGCAAACCCTTCATGATATCGAGAATCTCAGTTTCCTTGATTGAAGAGCGGTAGAGCTTGTTTAGTCGTTGGCCATGGTATCCTCCGCCAAGGTACATGTTATATGCTCCATACGCCTTGCCCACGAAGGCGACCTCCGCTAACCAAGGTCTAGCGCATCCATTGGGGCAGCCAGTCATTCGCATAACGATGCTTTCCCGCGACAAGCCATTCTCTTCAAGGTACGACTCTACCTTCGTGATGAGAATGGGTAAGTATCGTTCAGACTCAGCCATCGCAAGACCACATGTGGGAAAAGCAACGCAGGCCGAGGACGAGAGGCGCAAGCCACTAAAGGATGTATTGTCCAGCTTGTATTTTGCCATCAGGGCTTTGACCTGCGGTAGATCTTCGTCTTTGATGTTGGATATGATGACGTGCTGGTTTCCAGTGAGGCGGAATTCGCCCTTGTTCAACTTGGCGATTTCACGCAGACCGGTTCTCATGAGGAAGTCAGAGGTGTCTTCTACGCGACCGTTCTCGATAAAGCAAGTGAAGTGGTTTAGACCCTTTTCATCCTTGATCCAGCCGAAAGTATCAACGTTGGAGTCGAACTTGAAGGGACGGGGTTCAGCGAATCGAAGGTCTTCAGAGAGTAAGGCTTCTACTTTGCCCTTGAAGACGTCGACGCCCATGTCGTCGACAGTGTATTTCATTCGGGCGTGTTTGCGGTTCTTCCTGTCGCCATGGTCGCGCTGGACGAGCATAATTTTCTCACAGACGATATGTGCTTGTTTGGCGGGGACGTAGCCTAGCATACTGCTTGTCCGGGGGTATGTCTTTTTGTTGTTGTGGGTGACTCCCATGCCACCGCCGACAAGGACATTGAATCCATCCAGATGGCCGTCTGCGCCCTTGATTGCGATGAGGCCTATGTCATGGGCATAAACGTCCGTATCGTTATGAGGCGGTATGGCGATCGTTATTTTGAATTTTCGAGGAAGATATGTTGGCCCATAGAGTGGTTCGTGGTCCACAACAGCGTCTCCTGCAACCTGTACTTTGTTATCATTCTCGTCTTTCAACCAGATTTCATGATAGGCGGTGGTAGCGGGAAGAAGATGGTCACTGATAAGTTTCGACACAGCATGGACTTCGCTGTGGTATGTAGACAGCTCAGGAAGACTGCTGCACATGACGTTTCTGTTGACGTCTCCGCATGCAGCAATGGTAGACATTAACGCCCGGTTGATCGCCTGCATAGCTGCTCGTAGTTTCCCCTTAACGACACCATGGAACTGGAATGTTTGTCGGGTCGTAAGCTTCATCGTCTCGTTGCCCTGTGCGCTACTGATTTCGTCCATCTGCAGCCATTGCGAAGGGGTTGCTACACCACCTGCGAGACGACAGCGGATCATGAAGCTATACTTTGGCTCGAGGCCCTGGGCTTTTCGTTCCTCTCTCAAGTCTCGGTCGTCTTGCATGTAAGTTCCATGGAACTTAGTCAATTGCAGATCACTCTCTGCCAGAGCACCGGTAGATTCATCTCGTAGTCCCTCAGCAATAGTTCCTCGAAGGTAGTTAGATTGGATCTTGATATCTTCGTTGGTCAGGGGTGCTGGCTCATCAGGTAGACCTTCAACGTTATCCACCCCTAGGGCCTTCCAAATATTTGGCTCCCACTCTGAATATCCGGTCTGATAACCGTCTGGGTCTTGGTCGTCGCCTAGGCCGATATCAGCCAGCTTTTTACCGCCCAGGAAGGCGAGACGAGCATCAATATCTTTGGCAGGCTTGTTGTAGTATAGCTTGTCTTCCTTTCGAGGCCAGTAATGACTATCACCCAGGCCGAAAACGGAATACTTGATAGCACTCAAGTCGAGGTCTCCTGCGTTCTTGACTGTTTCCCAGAATCCACGTCCGTTCTGAGGCAGCTCTCCCTGGCCTGCTGTACTGGTGATGAGGACGATGTTCTCTTCCGTCGAAAGGTCTTCGATCGGGTAATCGTCCATCGCCATGACCATGGTCTTGAGACCACGGGCTTTACCGCGGTTAGCTAGTCTCTTTGCCAGATTCTCGCCGTTGCCATTATCAGATGCAAACAGGATTGTTAGAGGGGCACCGAGCAAGCCCTCCATGAGCTGGTCGTACGCTTTCTTCGCAGCTCTCTTCTTCAAAGCGCGTACTTCACTGCCATATGACTCTGATAAACTTGCTGCAAACTTGGGCTCACGATTCATCAGCTGAGTGAGCTGGTTATCCCTACGGAGGAATTCTTCAAGTTCTCTTCTGATCCTTTCGGAGTCCAATGAGAAATTAGGTAGCCCCTTTTCGGCATTTTCAGGGTTCCATCTGTACAGTGGCCAGTAGCCGGCTTCCACTGCTTTCTTGGTCTCCTGGAGTACTGTGAGGGGGGAGTCGCTTTCTTTATGGTAAGGTAGATAAGCAACGACGACTGAAGGCCCGTTGAACTGTTCTGCCTCTGCAATGGCTTGGAGGACCTGGGTATATGAGCTGTATACTGCGACAGACGCAACGTATGCATGACCGAAGTTCATTGCGTACAAACCGATATCCTTCTTGCGGCGTGTGGGATCTGCGGCAGTCCGTTGAGAGTACGGCTGGGAGTCGATAATGAGCATGTTGACATTTTCATTTGAGGCGAGAACATGATGCACTCCTGAGTTTCCAAGGTCGTAGGCCCATGCATCGGAGCCAATGAGCCATTGGGACTCCTTGAAGAATAGCTCCTTGGACTGAAGCAGGTCTTCAGCTGGAGCGGAACCATCCGCTGCCAAAGCATCAATGACATCTGGCGCAATCTGGTTGGCTTTTGCGGAGTTGGATTCATTCAAAGCCCATTTAGACAGAAGCTGTTTGGAAGTCTCGTTTGTGAACCCGTTGGCTCGAACAGCCTCTTCGACATCCTTTTTGAGATTGACACGACGTTCCTTTCGGGCAAGTAGGGATCCAAAACCATACTCTGGTGAAGCGGCGATGGTGGCGGAGATACCTGCGTTCTGTGAGCCAAGCTGGTTGGCAATGTACAAGCGGTCACTGAACAGCTGGTTCAGGATCTTGGTGTATGCATTTTCATGGCTAGGTTGTTGAAGCTGGGTATCTGGTTGGATAATGGTCTCGGTGCCTATGTCGAGGTTCTGAATTGGTGCCTCCAATGTGAGGTTCTGGATGACACCCCTGATTGCTTGGGAGGCTGTTGCAGGCTCTACGTATCCTAGTCTGTAGCCTACGAGGGTTGGTGTAGGTCTGGTGCTAGATGGTGGCTGGGACATGCTAGATAGGAGATCGAGGAAAGACGGGCCCCATCTGGTTGTCTTGCGGACCTGTTCGAGCACGGCTATGCGCTCGACTGAATCCGGTATAGCACGGAGTATCTGGCTGCCTATCCAGGGCCGGTAAAGTCTAGCGGTGATGATGCCCACATCCTTGAATTCGTCCTTGTGAGCCGGGTCATTCAGGCTATCGAGAAACACACCAGTTGAACCAAAGATGAACAATGCTAGTTTTGCGTTTTGGGGTCCCGAGTACTCAATGGCATGATAGTTGCGACCTACTCTGGCCGAGAAGGCATCCCAGATAATGCTTACTATCTGGAAGATGTCTGCGGCATCGACTGGACGGGTGGTGATTGTCTCAGCCGTAGTGGCAGATGAACTGGGGACATGGCTGTCAAGAATACTGCCCCGTCGTGAGGAACCCACTGAAGATGGGTCGACGCTAGGAGCCGCAGATTTAGGAGACGGAATAGGGAGCGATGTATCAGCCGAGGCAGGATTGATGACGGGCCCTCCGAAACCCTGATCAGTGACTACGGCGACTCTCCCTGAATCGGCATAGATGGTCTGAGGCACGTCCACTGGCGTATGGGTAGCTCTGACGGGACTGATCTCTAGTATATCCTTGACAAAGGCGGCATCCTCTGCCACGACCGGCTGGTTCTTTTCTGAATTGCGCAGGTCAAAGAAGTGAATGACTCCCTTGCCCGAGGTCTGGGCCAGGGCATGGGCAGTGAGACCGATATCATGGGCCTCCTGCAGGGTCTCTGAGTGCAAGAAGGAGAAGCCACATTGCCGAATGGAACTTATGATGGAGTAGTCTGCGAACTGGGAGGGTTCTAGATGCACGTGAATGACAATGGAGTAGTTTGCCAGTCTGTAGAGGTGAGGTATGGCAGCCAGCAGGACGGTGGATGTTGTTGTCACTGAGACTGTCTGCCCCTGCTGGAGAGGGTGGTATGCTGAGAGCAGGGGGTCCTCATTGTGGCGCACAGGGCGTATCTGCTTGGAGTTAGCTTGGCCTCAACCTGACAGGGGTGTACTATATAAAAAGGACAGGGTAGGCACTCCATAAATAGTAGCAAGCTTACCTCCGGAACCGTATCAGACAGCACGTTCTTGACCTGCTGCTGAGCTAGTCTGTTGAGGGTGCCCGAGAAGACCGAATCTGTCTCCTTGGTCGGCTGGACCGAGAGCACTACATCGCTGGAGAGGTATGCCACTCTTGCCACTAGTAATGAGGGTCAGCACCACATCTATACAACAGTGCCCCCCCAAATGACACCTAAGAACTTCATGAAAACAAAGCAACGCCTCTCTATCAGTGAGAGCAGGCTAAGACAGACATACCAGCCTCTGCTGCGGCGGTGATGCCCGCCATGCTGCCGTCAATGGCTCTGCCGAGCTACCGCTACCTATTCGTCCGTCTATCCGTCCGCGCGGGAGATCTAGATCGGCGTTAGCAAGGGCTCGTCTCAATGCCACCACCCACGCCCGCACTCACCTCCCAACTGACCAGTACAGCCCACTGAAGACGTCAGCAGGTCTATCACCAACGACTATCAAGAAGAGAAGAAGAAGAAGTGAAGTTGAAGTTGAAGTCGAGAAAAAAAGGCCTTTGAAGTCTTTCCCTTTTAGGCTCGCTCGTCAGGTGACTTGGCCTGATCACGACATCTGCAAACAGCGCAAACTCGGCTCGACTTGGTAATTCTTTTGCTTTTATTCGACGAGAAGAAGAAGATTTAAAGAGAGTAAAGACTTTGAGCTCTTCTTTATGTTGTGATGCTGAAGGATCTCGGTCGAGACAGCAGATAGAGAAGAGTCAGAGAAGAAGAGAAGAGAAGAAGAAAAGAAAAGCTCAGGTTCTGCTTTGCTAAGTGCGGCATTTGCATGTTCTATTGCGTGATCACCCTCGGCCCAGCTGGATACTAGCAGGCTTTCACAGAGACAGACAGACATAGAGAGAGACGGCGGGATTACAATTAGTAAAAGGTGATTTGTCAGGAGGAAGCAGTAGTGATGGTGATAACATAAAGTCTACGCATGGAGAGAACATAAGTTGATAGAGCCTCATAAGTAATAGCAGTTACCTGAGAACCCAGAGTCATGATAGCGATAGTGATAGACAAGAAGGCAGAAGACAAACAAGACAAGATCCATCCAGATAAGATGACCCGTAACGCCAAAGAAGAAGAAGAAGATCGGTCAGTAGCCAATTCGCCATGCTGTGCGTGTGTGCGTGTCCAAGAAGTATACAGGTCGATGTACAGTGCGGTGCGTAGTGTCCGCAGGGGCAGACCAGGGGGTATATATAGTATATACTCATTCAAACAAAAAGTCGAAGGTGATAGTGTGTAGCTCATCAAAACTCCCGCTCGTCCTGAGACTGGCCGTACATCTTCAGCGGCGGGACAGTGCCGGGTCTAAAGTTGGTAGTGGCCGGAGACTGCGGCAGAGAGTGCGGGTGGTTCTGCGGCTGCGTCGACGGCGTCAGGGGCACCACCACGGCCTGCAGCACTCCAGGGGCAGGCATAGGCGGACCGGTACCTGACCGACGCCGCCTCTCTCGCTCAACGGGACCGCTGCTCTCCGTGGGGACCATGCGGTAACTCGAGTTGAGCCGCCGGTTGACGCCAAACATCCAGTCGTCATCTTCGTTGCGGTCTAGCCAGTACCCCTTGCCAACAGAGACCATGGCCCGGCCCAGCTTGCCCTTCCAGCCCTGCCCGTCAGGACAGTCCGGCATGAACGGATTCTGGTTGGTCTCGGGGTAGTCTGTTGTGCTAGTCGTGGCCGTGGAGCCATTGCGCTGGTGCTGATACTGCTGCTGTTCGGACCGGCGGTAGAAAGCATGCAGCTTCAGACACTGTCTCGCAAACGCCATCATCACAAAGACAAAGTACAGCCGCACCACCCACAGCACACATATGATGGCCAGACTAGGCAGGCTCTCAGGCTGCAACATGCCCTCCTCCAGCGCCGAACTGCCCGACTTCGCCCTCATCGTGGCCAGCGGCATGTCCTCCGTATCAAACGAGACACTGTACCGTCGCTCTCTCCCATGCGGTGGTCCTCCGGCCGTGAATCCAGCCGAGTCTTTCATGGTCGACCCGCCGGGCCCTCCGCCGCCCGAAATCATCTGGAACCAGGTCACGGCGAACCCGGCGGTGTACGCTGCATTCACCACGCTATCGATAAGGTAGAACCAAGCGAGGGCGAGACACTGCAGCGGCGCCTGCTTGCGGATGTACGGCGTCAGGAAGACGGTCAGGCCCAGCGCGAGCATCGAGTATATGTACATCGACAGCTGGACGGGCGAGAGCTCGAAGCCCGTCAGGATCGAGAGCAGGCCATAGATGCCGATGAGCTTGTTAAGCAGCATCGAGAGTGCGATCAGCGTAGCGCCTGTCTGCAGGCTCATGATGTAGAAGAAGGACTGCAGTTGAAAGCGTTAGTTCGTTTGCAACGGCGTCACGAGAGCAGTTGAGATCCATGGATGATGCCATTTACCTGCGGCCGCGGAGCGCGGAGGAACCGGAACGACAAGAAGCCCATGGTCACTCATCAAGGGGCGTATTTTAGCAGGCAAAACAGAGATACAGGAGAAGAAGACGATGAGAAAGAAGATGAAGATGAAGATGAAGACGGACTTCGACGTCAAGCCGGTGGAGCGATCGGAAAAGTAGCAGCAGCAGAAGCAGAAAATCCTCCGGCAGCCCGAGGAACGATGGGACGGAAGCGAACTGTTCGACCGAGCCGAGAGGTGCTTTTGCTAAACTGCTCTTTGATTTGTTTATTCAGGGAAAAGAGCAGCCGAGATTAATATGACAGTGATATTGATATTATTATTATAATTGGCGAAGGATCCCAGCGCTGATTCTCCTTGTTCGGTTGTGAGCTGCCAAGTGGCGATCCCGCCGGGGTTTGATGCCCAAGGTCGCTAGTCACATACACAGGCATGGCGACGGTGATAGTGATAACAACAGTACTATTTATGCAGAGGCACAGAGTTATGCGCGGACGGGCCGGGGCGGGATACGGGCTGTGTGGATGCGAGGCGTTGATAGCTGTATTATTTATAGACTAGCTGGTGCATGGCATGGCATATTAAGAGATAGCTATGTAGATACTAAGATGCAGGCAAGAAAGGGCACTGGCAGCAGTGTTGGATGGTGGATACAGGGAGGCTCAGCGTGGGAGCAGTATTACAGGCTCAGTGCAGGCTGGATGTTTGTATGCAAGGCGTAGACATGGGCATGTGTAGGCAGGAGGTAAGGAGTATATGCTGAGTTACCCCCGTAGAAGTCGAAAGGGAGGTCGTAGATGGTTCGTGAAGGTGTAATGCTAGCAGGCACAGGCGTCGTTGCTCACCGGCTTTGTCGGGTTGATGCTCACATCGATCACTGCAGCAGTCAGTCAGTATAACCATCTATTAACAGATATCATTCCATCAACAGGAAGACATACTCTGGTTGTCGCTGTTGGGAGTCTCCCCTTCCATGCCCGGCAGCGCCTGGGCTATCTTCTTAAACAGGTTCTTCACGTTATGCCCCAGCTTCGCACTCGTCTCGATGAACATCAGCCCGTTCTTCTTCGCCTCCTCCTCGCCCTGCTCTGTCGTGACCTCCCGCTTGTCGTTGAGATCCGTCTTGTTGCCGACCAGTGCGATGATGACGTCGTTCCCTCGCTCGTCACGAACATCGTCTACCCATTTGCGCGTATTCTGGAACGACTTTGCGTTCGAGATGTCGTATACCACCACCGCCACGTTCGAGTTCTGGATATACGACGGTATCAGGGAGCGGAACCGTTCCTGGCCTGCCGTGTCCCATAGCTGCAGACGCACCGTCCGGTCCTCTAGATACATAGTCTGTTCCCGTCAGTCTCTCCATCTTTGTTGTACGCCTCTCTCTCTCTCTCTCGTAGCATTGTCTAGGCAGGCAGCAGGATATCGCACCTTGGAGAGGAAATCAATCCCTATAGTGGCCTGGTACGTGTTGTCGAAGGAATCGTACATGAACCGGGTGATCAGCGAGGTCTTTCCAACTGTCTCTCCGTCAGCCTGTGGTCCATCTTGTGTATGCATCTGTCTCTGCCCGTCTGCGTACCACTCTGTTCACCGAGAAAGACCAGCCTGCGCCCTCAAGTCAGCTTCCATCCCGCGCCAAAAACCACCGCAGACCACCGCAGACTCACTTGAATTTCTTCAGCGGGTTCGAATACGACCCAACCTGCGACTGGGAGGCCATCGTGTCTCGTCGTTCCGGCGTGCGTACCAAAAGGGGGCGGTCTTCAGATAATTTTATATTATAGTCCAGCTAGCGAGGTTGCTTGACTGTCCACCAAGCAAACACGCAGTCGTAGTTGAACCTCGCAGCCAGCAGCATCAAAGGAACAGTAGACAGCAAGAAGGAAAACCCCCCGTAGCAGCAGAAAGGAAAGCAGTAGATCCGTCCTCGCCCTTCTTCTTCTTCTTCTTCTTCTCCTCGTCCGTTGAGCATGCAAAAAGCCCTGCGCGGCCACTTGACTTACCCGCGCGGCCGCCCATCCAATCACGACGCCGCAAGCCTCCGTCGACTTTCCTCGTCGCTTTCGCTGCAGCATCAAGAGAAACGCAACATCAACACCAGCACCAGCACAGCAGACAAGCAAGCAAGCAAGCAGCAGACAGGCAAACTCGCATCCCGACCTTCCACGCCGCACGACAGTCGACCGCTGCTGTTCTCTGCTCCGTTTCTTCGTGCGTCGACGTCCTGCTGCACCGCTCGAGAGGCGCAAGGATGGGCTACAGCTACTACCACGGCCTGGGCGGCTTGACCTTCGCCCTGACGGTTGTCGGCCTGTGTACGTCTAGTTTCACGTCTACCTTCTAGCTGTAGCTTTGGATAGACGGCTGGAGACCAGATATGGCTGACTCGTGCTTATAGATATGCTCTTCAATGGCGAGGGTGAAGCATTCAACGTGAGTTCTTGACCGGGCGTCGTTTATTTACCCACTAGTGTACGGACGATACTGACAGCTTCGCAGGTCGGCCTCTTCCTCGAAACCGTCTCCCCGTACGCCTTCGCAAACATAGGCATTGGGCTGTGTGTCGGTCTATCCGTCGTCGGCGCAGCATGGTCAGCAACACCTCTCCCCAACACTCTCCTGCTTCAGCTGTCCTAAACACCTTTATCAATACAGGGGTATCTTCGTCACTGGCTCCTCCATCATCGGCGGCGGTGTTAGAGCTCCCAGAATACGGACCAAGAACTTGATCTCCATCATCTTCTGCGAAGTTGTCGCCATCTACGGCGTCATCATGTCCATCGTCTTCTCCTCCAAGCTCTCCTACGTGTCCGAAGAGAGCCTCTACTCAGGCAGCAACCTCTACACCGGCTACGCTCTCTTCTGGGGCGGCCTCATCGTCGGATCGTGCAATCTCATCTGCGGCATTGCAGTCGGTATCAACGGAAGCAGTGCTGCCTTGGCCGATGCTGCTGATTCCAGCTTGTATGCCTCCTAGCCCCTCCCACCACTGCCCGCAGACTCCATACTAACTACCCCCAGATTCGTCAAGATCCTCGTTATCGAAATCTTCAGCTCTATCCTTGGTCTCTTCGGCCTTATCCTCGGCCTTCTTGTTGCCGGAAAGGCGAACGAATTCAAGTGAACGCTATACATGGCCCGATCGTGTTGTGATTTTGGTTAATGATAAAATTATACCACACCCCCAATCTACCTCCCGGGGCCTTCATGCATAAATGCTCCCACCCTTTTCCCCCACCTTCTCGTGACTGTTTCGTTGATCTCGTGTTCCTCTTTATTGAAAGTATGCCTTTTTTTTTCACCACGGCATGGGCGTTCGGTATCCTACTTCCTACGTTTTTTTTATATTAATTCGTTCGCATACATAGAGTGCATTCGGTCAGTCAACAGGCCCTGGCGGCATGCGGGAAAGCAGACTCGTCCTCTCTTTCCTCGATGCTGACCCGAGGGCCTGACGGGTGTGGATGTAAAATAATAGGTTAGCCCTTGTATTTCGAATATTTAGCCAATACATCTCTTGAACATGATATTCAAACCTCTTGATGCTTCGTTAAGCTTGCCGCGGGCTATTGGTTGGTAGCAACATCCTTGCTAGTTAAGCAGGCTAACCAAAACACCTGGAGAACTGCGGAGGGACAGACGAACGACTCACGCCATACAAAGGACCAAAGAACAGACTCTATCTATATATACAATATTACATCTCGAAATGTCGGATCAGCGGTTCAGAGCAGCTATCCTCATCGTGTCGGACACGGCTGCCCATGACCCTTCCACTGACACTGTAGGCGGCATCTTGACGGACCTCTTCAGCCAGCACGACAGATGGGAGAAGCCGACCATCGCCATCGTTCCTGACAGCATACTGGATATTCAACGGCATATCTCTCGCTGGTCTGATGGCGACGATCACTTCAATCTCATCATCACTTCTGGCGGGACGGGCTTTGCGGTCAGGGACAATACGCCCGAGGTGGGTTGCTCCCCAGACTTCTATAGAACAATGTACTATGAAGAAGATGGATGCAGTCTGACTCGTGTATAGGCCGTCTTGCCTTTGATTCATCGACATGCTCCAGGGATTGTGTAGGTGGGCTACTGGATGTATCAAATTGACCGGTCCTGACTGCGATTATAGGCATGCGATACTATCTACTTCATTGGAGATAACACCATGTAAGCCATTCTTAACTTACCCTCCAATACATGGCGATAAGCATGCCTAACGATGTATAGTTGCTATGATGTCAAGACCTGTTGCAGGAGTACGGCACAAATCAATCATCATCACTGTCCCCGGATCCCCCAAAGGTGCAAAAGAATGCGTGGAAGCAGTTATCAAAGTACTACCCCATGCATGTGCCCAGGCAGCAGGCGCTGATTCAAGGACTCTGCATGCTGGCGGTATCCAGAAGCTAGAGAAAGAAGCCGGAATAGCCAGCCATACTGCTGTGTCGTCAAAGTCAGATGGAGGCCATCACCACTATCCCCATCATGGCCACGGACACGGACATGCTATACCCAAAGCACATACGACCGCAGCAGAGAGACCAAGCTCCAATGATCCGGGTACTGGCCCAACCAGACGATACCGTACTTCCCCATACCCCATGATCTCCGTGGATGAGGCTCTCAAGTTGATATCAGAGCACACACCCGATCCTACCGTCATCGAGGTGCCAGTGGACATCTCACTTGTTGGCTCAGTTATAGCCGAAGATGTCTTTGCTGCCGAAGCTGTCCCTGCCTATCGAGCCAGCATTGTCGACGGATACGCCGTTATTGCCCCTTCTTCTCCGGGTGAAGGCGTTAGCACAAAGGGCCAGTTCCCAGTTGCATCTGTCTCCCATGCACAGGCTGCCTCTATGCCTCCACCATTGAAGCCTGGAAACATTGCTCGTATCACAACTGGAGCACCACTTCCTGATAACGCCAACGCCGTCGTCATGGTAGAAGACACGGTTCTAGTATCGACCACCCCCGAAGGCAAGGAAGAAGCTGTCGTCGAGATCCTAACTGCAGATATCAAGGTAGGAGAGAATATCCGCGAGCCAGGAAGCGATGTCAAGCTTGGCTCCAAAATCCTGCAGAAGGGAGACCTCATTACTGACGTAGGAGGGGAAATCGGCCTATTGGCTTCCACCGGCACCAAGACAGTGAAAGTGTACAAGAAGCCATGCATTGGCGTCCTTAGCACCGGAGATGAGCTGGTCGAACATTCTAACCCCATCAAGCTTACAGGCGGCCAAATCAGAGACTCAAATCGCCCTTCTCTAATTTCATGCCTGATTTCATGGGGTTTCCCAACCGTCGACCTTGGTATTGCAAAGGATACATCCGGCCACCTGGAAGAGCTCTTGCGTGGTGCCTTACGCGGCGCATCACCCTCTAACCCCTCGGGTGTAGACGTGATCATAACCACCGGCGGCGTTTCAATGGGCGAACTGGACTTGCTGAAACCCACTATCGAACGACAGCTAGGGGGCACCATACACTTTGGGCGAGTGTCAATGAAGCCAGGCAAACCAACTACTTTTGCAACCCTTCCGTTTAAACCTAGCTCCCCTGATTCGAACCAGAGAGATAAAAGAGTCATCTTCTCTCTTCCAGGGAACCCTGCTTCGGCTTTGGTTACGCTTAACCTGTTCGTGCTGCCATCGCTGCACAAGACTATGGGGTTGGCCCAGAGAGGACTGCCAGTCGTCAAAGCTTCGTTGACACACTCTATTCCCAAAGACCCCAAACGTACTGAGTATCATCGTGCCGTTGTGGGTTCATCTCAGGAAGATGGCCGGCTACTTGCTACAAGCACTGGTATTACTGGTGTAGGCCAGCGAAGCTCAAGGGTTGGGAGCATGGCTAAAGCTAACGCATTGCTGGTTCTTGAACCTGGCTCTGGCTCAATTGAAAGGGGACAGTTAGTTGAGGCCCTGATGATGGGACCTTTGGTTTGATGATTGATGATTAATATTAACTAAGTAACACGGCCGAAATCAAATATTATATCCAATATTATCTATAGTTATATGCAATGTAGAAAATGTCCAGCAATGCAGAACCTAGAAATCGATTTTCCTGAGTTTCATCCAAGAAAAACACCCCGTAGTCACCAAACTTATTTTCGTTTCCAGTGACCAACACCGTAGCTTGCAGCGTATTCTGATAATAATATCATCACTTCGCCGTTTTCCAACCCTTTTTCTTCTCCGCTCTAAGCGCCAATAATGCCCCCTCTCTGCCGGGAACTCTTCCAATTTCCACAACGATAAATCGTACAAAATCCTGCAGTACCCAGTAACTACTATGTGCACTGAGCATATTGAGATATTGAATATTCAAAGGTCCGCCACCAACATTGAGGTAGAAATCTATTTGTCCATTGTCGTTCAAAAGAGCCATGCGCGTTTCAGCGATTTCCTCACGGGTGAAATCATGAGTCTCCAATTCGATATTTGAAGGGAGCCTGGATATTGTAGCTGCGGAACCGTGAGCGGTGCTACCAACAGTTGCACTAGTGGTATACGTTGTGCCCCAGCGGAAAACACTTGTAATGCTTTGCAAAAGTGAGGTTGACGAACTAGGTATAACCTTTGGTTTAAGCGAGTTTGCCAGGTCAGCATCCACTGCTGCATTCAAGCGGTACGCAATAGGATCCGTATCGTTTAGGATGTTATATAAATTATCAACCGCAAGGCATCCATATTTTCCAGCCTGACCGGCTATGCCGCGACCTGCATCCTCACCATGGTCCATGCCAGGCTTGTTCCGACCCTTGCGTGGAAGAAGGACGGACTTGTTGAGAAGCAGGAAAAATCCTACAGGGCTACCGCATAGGAATAGGTTCTTGGTATCAAACTCGAACATGGCCTCACTGATTTCAGTGCTGGAGAAATCAATGGATGGAAGAACAGTCGGTTGATGCGAAAGGATATCCACTGCCATGACCGTTCCCAGGGAATGGGCAATTATGTGAACCCTTCCACGGGATTGGAAGCCAGGGTTATTGTGGCACCAAAGCCGATATATTCGATTTGCTTCTCTGACCACCGCATGTACCATTTTCTGTTTATGATGAGACAGATAGTATGGGATGTCAAGCATAACATCGCTGATCAAATTTCGGACTCCCGGAATGGTGTCTGGAGTGATATCTTTCAACGAAAAGTTGTTTGCATGAGGATCCTCGGCTGCAGAAATGCTTTCTTCCGCACCCTCAAGAGATAGAGTTGTTCGCCAATTAACTGGGAGCACCATTATACTCTCTTGACCTGGACGCATATGTGGCCATACCGCATCGCTGCTCAGCTCCGCATTCACGTCTTTTCGAAAAGCATTGATTGCATGAGTGAAATGGAAACTCTCGACTCGTTCAGATAGCTTTTGGCCAATGCCATGTATAACCAAAACAAGATCACTCACATCCTGCCTCTTATCCTCCATTTGGCAGGCATAGCAGATTTGTCGGCGAGAAGCAGATGGGCTAGCAGCCATCTCACGCATCTTCATGAAATTTCTCGCGTTTGTAGAAACGAACTTTGACGGATGCAATTTATCCCACAGTTGCGGGCTGAATCCCCGTACCACAGGGATGCCGATTTGTCTGCCCTTTCGTACAGAGGCCAAAGGCCGACGGCCGCGTGCGACTGATGGTAACAGACTTGGTCGTAGGATTTGTGCCTCCTTCGCATTGACGTATATGACACTGGAAGATTTGAACTGCCGTACGGTATCTACCTGGCCTTCCACACCACCAGCGGCTCTATTTACACTGAAATCAAGATGCGTTGCCTGCTGTGACAGGTGTGCGCTTCCAACTGACATTATTCCAGGCGATTCACGCCCGGCCTTGTCTGCTTTCTTCGGTACCTCGTCAGGCCAGAGCTTGTATATAATTTTTTCCTCGGCCTCCGCGCCATTTTCTATGCAGCTATCGAGCTCATCTTGCCACGTTTGTGTCCAGGGCTTCAGTTCCATGTAGCCATCTTCTAAATGATTCGCGAGATCCGTTTCTACAGGAAGCATAGTGTTCTTGTAAAACCAAGTTGCTCTAATCACATTTGAGATATCGTTGACTGGGCTCCAATAAATGGGCTTCATCTGTAATTTCGGCAATTCTACGAGATGAAGGCGTGTTGCGCCCACGGTCACCGTCACGCCTATGTCAACAGCTTCCGAGCCAGTGGTCGAAGGTCGGGAATCTGGTTTTGGACAAGGTGTCTCTCGAAGTTTGGGTTTGATTTCATGGTCTAGCTCTAGGGCTGCTTTCAATTGTGTAGTCGAATTGTTGTCTCCGTTGAAAGGGCGTTTCATTTGTTCCAGTATATCTTCATTGCCCCAAGCTGAGCTAGCGACAGAATCCGATCGATCTCTAACTGGTGCTCGAATGAATGGAGATCCAGTAACATTGGTATCAGCCATGGTTCGCATCCTCCCATCGTCACCGTTCTGGAGCGGCGTCCCAATTCTCGTAGGTGTTCCGGACATAGGCTGAACAGGAGAAATCTGGCATTTCTGTAGCTTTTCGCAAGTTTCATAAGATCCGAGAGTTCTGCGTCGTTGCTTTGACTTTTCGAAGTCCGGTGATTCAGCGTTTCTAGGTTTTGGTACGTTGGAAATTGATTCCTTTCCAGCAGCAACACTGCTATCCACAAATATCTCACGAACCCCCAGCGAGCTTCTCCTGTTTTCTCTTCCCTCACCCCGTAACCGGGAAACTGGGAGTGTTTTACTGTTTTTGATAAGTTTTCCATCTGACCCTCGCCGGCTTCGTTCTACAGCTAGAGGTATTCCCCGAAGTCTCAAAGTGCTTTCCCGAGAGCCAGAGGCTCTGGAGTCACTTGCGTTTTCTCTCTCAAAATCAGCCCGCAGAGCCTGCCAAGCTTCTTCCAGAGCTATACTGTCTCGGCTTGAGAACGGTCTCGTCGGCAGCTGTGTGTTGGAGTTGGTGGTCGGAGCTGTGATTGGTGTCAAAGGATCATCGATTGGGAGCGATGATAGGTAGAAAAACTGGGCTCGCACGGTGGGTGGTGGAGGGATTACCTCGTCTGGGCCGCCTTTGATAACAGTGTTGCCTTCTTCCTCGTAGAGCAGGCATGTTGGCCCGTATGTATGCGTGGGAGCGGCCATGACTTTCGAAATAGCTGCGTTTGGTGTTCCTATAGCTGCAGATATTCAAAGAAGCGGGCGCTTTTATATATCCAGGATAAATCAAAGAATTATAAGAGCAGAAGCAGCTCCACCTTCTAGCATGGGAGGTTCTGGCATCCTGGACGTCAAGAACAAAGCCATGGGTAGCAGAATTCATGCAGTTTATCGGACTGTAGCCTGAATGTCCTTAAAGGATAATAATACCGGGATACAACATGCTATCCCTCTAGTCCGATTCACTCTCAAGGACGAAAGTTGGAGAATCCAGATTGTCTCTTTTCTGGTGGTTGGGATTTTCCTAAATGTTGACTCGACGATGACGTTGTTGGATGGCAGCTTCACGTGATGCGCCCAGGCTCAGCGATGTGGAGGCCGGAGACGGGCTTTGATATCAGAGAACTGGTTGTTTATGGCAGGGATCATCTCGTCTGTTTGCTAATTCCTATTGGCACGATAAGTAAGACTTTGCTAATTATACACAAGGAGGCTGCCTGAAGGGCTTAACAAATCACCAAGGGCTGCCCAGCTGAGGCTACGACCCAATAGGCAGCAACATTAGGAAAAAAACTAAAAGGACCTTCTCAACAATAAAACCTGAGACCCATAACTACTCCGTAGTCAACCTCCCCTGAGCCGTACGCTTTCCAAAGGATGGCTGGTGGAATGCTCCTTGCGTTACATGTTTGTCGTCGGCCTCCTTCAGCTGCTTTTCCTGAGCTTTCTTCATGGCAGCGAGTGCTCCCATCTGCAGTTCCTGGAAAGCCAAAAATGTCACCAGTGGTCCTCCCAACATCTCCAAGATCTTATGTGTATCATGCATGTGTTTCCTAATAACGCTGTCAGGGTAGCAGAATGTGCGAACACTCATCTCTTTCGCCATGGCCTTCCAGTTATACAGAGTTGCGTTCAAAACAACGGTGTTGTATGCACATTCGCCGTGGAATTTGAAAGTTCGAAGATTGTAGATGATCATGTCTCGTTGCGTGGCTTGGTCGAACTGAAATTGAACGACTGGCGGTCTGCCCTTGGACACCCAGAAATTGGTGACCTTGTTAATTGACTCGGCAGACATGTAGCCAGCCTGGTACTGGCTGACGAGAAACTGGTTAGCCGTAACGCAGATCATTAGCTCCATTTCAGAGTAAAGCTTTGCTTGGGTTGGGGGATCGAGAGAAATTGGACAAGTAGATCTAGTCAGCATCTTAGGCTGGAAAGGGGCAGATCCAGATCCTGTCTATAGAAAATGTCAGTGCTAGCTCCATTATTCATGACAATAAAAAATTCTGAATGCTCACAATATCTTCAACTCGCTGCTTGATTTTCTCTCCAAGAGCTCTCAGACCAGGCTTCCTCTTCTCGACAGGAACATCGTTGAGGTCTGGTGACCGTCCTAACCATCCATTTTCACCGAATAGCTTCTTATGCGGAGATTTTGAGCGTTTCTGCTGTGGGTATAGATCAAGGGCAGATTCTTCATCCAAATCTTCAAGTTTAGTGGGGGAACGGGAACGGCCGCGTCCACGCGGCGCACGGTTTGCCTCATAATATCTCTGATCCTGTCTCTGATCATGCTTCTGGTCATGGCTCTGGTCATGGTTACGTCCACCGTTTTCCCACTTTTCTACAGGCGGCACTCTTGCTGGACCTTCCCATCCCTGGAAGTAGCTGGCCAAGTCCGAGGTATCATGGTATCCGTAGTCAGATGATTTTACATTACCATCAGACTTGGATTGGGGAAGGCGTCTTCCGTATTGACTTGCATCCGTGGGATAGGAGTAAGCCTTTGGCGGAGATGGCTCTCTTTGGATTCGCGAGTCATTTTCAGGGGGTCCAGGCCATACGCTTTGACGTCCACTACTTCCATGGTATTCCGAAGCACCGCTATAAGATGAGTGACTAATATAATTTATCAGCATCAGAGTGAATATAGCTTAATCTGTATATATGCGTTCCTACCTGTCATATGCGAGGGGAACCTCCATGGCCTCCGATGGATTGTACTTCTTTGGATCTAACGAGTTGACTGGAATTCCAGCTTCCTTTGTAGATTGGACGGTCAGATGCAAGATATCTCGCGTCAACTGCCTGAAAGCGTCCCTGGAAGAACAACAAGGCGGGCAACCCTGGGTGTCTAGAGTATGATTCTGATGGCCGTTCGATTCCAGGTTAGGCAAACTTGACGAATGGGTGTGCGTAGAGGGATTAGGCCGTTGCTGATGCCCCGATCTAGGAAGAAAATCTCCAGTACCATCGCGTTGATGCTGTGAATGCTCCATATTTGGTCTTTGTTTATGTTGTGGCTGTGAGCCAGAGGAGCTTCCAAGCATCATGCTTTTTATAGTAAATAAAAAGAGATGAATCTCATGAATAGCCCAATGAGAGCTATTGCCATGAATTAGAAAGTGTAAGGTAGAAAGAACCACAATAGCTACCAAAATTATTGTTGTGAGGATGAGGTTCAATAGAATGGTGGTGATGATGGAGTTGGTATAAAGAAGGTGATATCACCTAGCAACCAAAATAAACAACACCAGTCCGCGTTTCTATGTCCGGTTCGTCCCGGATCGCGGCTAGTAAGTGCCTGATCCTCCTACAAAGCCTGTACCAGAATATTCTTAGTGAAGAACCAGCTATATGGCAGCCCACATTGTCATCTAATAGAATTATCTCAGAAGATATAGAGTAGTTAAATATACCAAATAAGTACCAATAGAGACATTCAACCAATAGGTTGCCTTATGCAAGGAGCAGTAGTCTCATACGTATAGCATCCTCAAGAGACACATCTAGCAGTACCTGGAAGGCGGCAGCCCCAATGAGCTCCGGAGGGTATTGCACTCCAAAGGTAGTCTCTTATATGAAGACATAGGTATATACAGGATCCTGTACATACTACACCGGCAAGCAAGGGGTGGATATACGAGATTGCATGGCATTACTATCATCAAGGCTTCTGGTATCATTTCGGACTATTTTTTATCGCGAAAGTATAAGAGGTCAGAACAGCTCAGATAACTGACTAACCCCTTTCTAGAGCGTAGCTCCGTTCCATTGTATGCTCAAAGATTATGAAACTGTTGATGGATGCAGTAGAAGGTGGAAGTTCGAAACGCCGATGAAGGTAAGGCTGCGGGAAGGACTGTCACGTGACTAATATAATTTTACGGGATAACATTAACCATAACATGTGACTTATAGTCTCGCCGAAGTTTAAATCTATATTTAGGCCGAAGAGCTCAACGGCGTAGTTCAGCACTGAAGACAGGAGACAGGAATGATTTATCTATTCCCACGATTTATCTGGAAATTATGCTCTGTCCTATGATGAGTGGGAGACTACGGGTGAGATACTTAAATATGAGGGTACTAAATTCAGTTCATACCTCGTCAACCTTGCAGATATCTCTCGAAGACTGCAAGGGGTTGACCTCAACCTCAGTTTCAACGAAAAGGTCCTTATCCCAATGTCACAGCCACACTTTATATCCTTGAGCCGCATTCTACCCCTTGGACTTCCGTGGGCTCCTATATTTACAAACAGTTCTATTTCTCGCCTATAGTATTTCCCTTCGCCACCGGAAGGTAAGGACGAGGAGAATGGAAGCGAGGGACATTTTCCAAGCAACATGTTCGGCAAGAGTTATCACTTATTCGCCAGTGGTACTGGAAACTCAAAGAGGCAAAATCTGGCCTTCTGGAACAAATACCACGCAATTGCCAGTCACTCCATACCCTGATGGTATTGAATACAAACGATATTCACTTGCCGCAAATTTTTATACCCTATGTACACCCTAAGCATTGCTTCTGCCGTTCCCTTCATTCACTGGCTAAGAGTGACTAGTTTTTATCTTTCCTATTTAAAGAAGAGTCAGGAACTTCTCTTTTCTTCTGCTTTGCACCACCTAATTTTTCTACTATCCTACCTATTTCACCTCCCTATCCAGTTGAACTTGTGTCAAAAGGAAACTTATCCCACTTATCGGGCTCATATCATCAACTTAAAGGCTGTAACGTCTGGTCTAAATAGTCGAAACATGGAGTAGCAACATATCCTCCACAGTATAGCGGTATCGCAAAACTAGACATGACAGCGCTTGCTGTCACTGAGGTTTTATCCTGTAAAGGATCTAAATCGATCCTTTAGGTTTGCACATCACAATGATGATATCGAGTTTAGACTCCTCGCATAGTAGAGAAAACCAGCCTAGGAAACTACCCGATATCAACACATCTCCAAATAATATTGGAGGAGTACTCGCTGAATACCCCAGCGACGATCCAAAATCCGTCTTGGTTGTTGTCCTCACCATATATCAAACATGGTACATCAGAACGCGAGAACAATCCCAAGATGATAACCTAGATGTCAAATCCGATAACGAAACAAATACCCCCGAAGATGTCTTCATACCATTCACCGAGGATAGCCATACGTGCCGTAGCCCGTAGGAAGTCTTACAGAACCTACTCTTGACATTGGCAATATTCTCACCATAGCATAAACAACAGCAGAAGAATTCCATGCAATTCACGCTAGCTTTCACGGTTATTCATGTGGCATTACTCTGTCTATCTTCCTTCTAAAGCTTAACTTTGACATGTAACCGGAGAAGAAACAGGAGGAGCTTCAAGCTCCGGGTTCTAGACTCAATGCTACTCTGGAAACCATTGGTAAAGTATTAAAGATGTAACTTCACCCTCCTAATCATTGCTGTATTGCTGTAGGTTCACTCATTTGGCCAAATCGTTTTGATAGTTATAAACAATGCAGGAACTTCTACACCATTACTTGGTGTACCTTATCGGCGGAGACTCAACTTTAACCGGCTAACATAGTTCAGTAGTTAGTAAATTAACTTGAGAGCCCGTAAGAGATTCTGTCTTGGTCAAGCAACTTGGTGATAAATATACTCCGTACGGAGTACTGTGTAACTAATTAACGATGAGCAAGCCTAACAGATCGATCTCCAACCAAAATCGGCCGCCTACCGTTATGAACTACCGGAGCGACAAGCCAGCCACTAATTTTTGTGGTATTGACATGGTTTATTGAATTCCAGACCAGACTAAGAGGCTGACTAGTTATAAAAAGGGTTTGGCGGCTTCATTCGACATTTTCCGACCCCTGACACCAATCACTGGCCCGAATCGCGAGGACCAGCATCTAAATAAGCATCGATGTGCATCTTCGCTGCCAGCATGGTGGCTTAAGGGATATTGTTCCACTGGTTAGCAGAGCACATGCAACGTGAGTGACCAGCTAACTAACTCGCTAGAGCAGGAAGACATACGGAGCACATAGCTAAAACAACAGCAACACCCAGACTGTACCCATTAGATATCGCGATACTCCCCAAGCATCTCGGACATATAGCCACTACAGTTTTAGTCAAGCTCTTGAGAAGGGTCTTTTAAGGGTTTTCCCGGAGTTTTGTAGGGAATTGCTTTTTCCTCCTCGCAGCGTGGCCTTATTCTTCAGCCAGTTACTATCCCGGCCCGTCCAACGACGACCACAAGGTAACGCAGGGGGGATAACTAGTTATTCTTCACTGTATACCAGAGCATCCAGTTAGCTTTTGTCTGTAAAACCCCTGTAACTATCCCTTTGGGCCTTAACTATTGAAGTTGTACTTGGTTCTCCGAGCCCTCCCCTGGGTGGAACCAGATGCCATTCTCATGCAGACTGAATAAGCAGACATGATATCTGGCGGATAGGATCCGGCATGTACATGACGGACCTACAAATGGGTATGTATCTCCGCTCCTGGCATCAGAATCCATCAAAATTCTTTTCTCCTGCTACGGCTAACTGTTTGTTCAGATATCTCATTTATATACTTTAAGCTGCCCTGCGGTAGCATGTTTTTGATAGCCCGGTTTGCCGGTTCAAAATCACTTCTCGCATAATACGCACAAAAATGAGGGAGGAAGCGTACGAAATCGTTATTGTTGGTGCTGGGCCATTTGGTCTCTTCTTGTCACTCTGTCTATCCCGATGGGGTTACAATGTGAAGCACATTGATAACCGAGAAGTGCCTACAAAAACAGGCCGAGCGGATGGAATCCAGTCTCGTTCAATCGAGATACTACGAAATTTGGGACTAAAGAGGCAGTTGATGGCCTACTCGCCTGCGAGGATTTACAATGTTGCATTTTGGGACCCTGACCCTAACAGCGAGGGCATACGTCGGACGAGCAATTGGCCCAGTTGTCCGCCGACCATCGGGGCGAGATACCCATTCTCCCTCATTATACACCAGGGTATAATTGAAAAAGCCTTTCTAGATGAGATTTCCAAGTGTGGCACTATCGTGGAGCGTCCGAGCACCATAGCTGGATTCGTACATGATAGAGAAGACCCCGTATACCCTATATCAGTCACCCTGAAAAGCCTTGACACGAACGTGGAACGCACTGTGCGGACAAAATACTTAATTGGTGCTGAGGGAGCTCGGAGCTTTGTCAGAAATCAGCTGGGGATAAAAGTGCAACAGAAGGGGCCTATTTCAGCTGTATGGGCTGTCGTGGATGGGGTGGTCCGAACTGATTTTCCTGATATCAGGGTATGCATATGAGACTCCAGTGCCGGTATATGCTACAGCGCCTTTAGCCATTGACTAACATACCGAGTAGAACAAGTGCACTATTCATTCTCACAGTGGTTCAGTGATGGTGATACCAAGAGAGGACAACTTAGTCCGCCTCTACACCCAGATATCCTCACCCGAGGATGCTGACTGGGACCCTAAGCAGACAGCTACCCTCCAGCAAGCGCAAGACTCCATCAAAAAGGCCCTAAAGCCATACAACATCTCCTGGGATACAGTTGACTGGTATTCCACCTACCCCATAGGTCAAGTTTTAGCAGACTCATACAGTTTGGATCAGCGTATCTTCATTGGGGGAGATGCATGCCATACTCACAGTGTAGGTTACCCCAGCCAGTCTAAATTTAACGCTATTGGTATATTGTCTAACCAATCTCCTCACCAGCCAAAAGCCGGTCAGGGAATGAATGCTGGATTTCACGATGCCCTAAATCTAGCATGGAAGATCCATGCAGTCGAGGCTGGATTTGCCGATCGCTCGATCCTTGAATCTTATGAAGCGGAACGGAGATACATCGCTCTGCAGCTGCTTGATTTTGATGCCAAATACGCGAAGTTATTTTCCCAGAGATTATCTACAAAAGACCCCAACCTACCCGAGAGCAAGGTGTTTACCAAATTGCACAAAGCTGCCGCGGAATTCACAAGCGGTTACGGCATCATATACCCCCCGAATGACTTTAATTGGCATCCGAATCATAGAGCCAAATCACCGCTTTTCATCTCCGAAGGAAAGGGACTCAAGCCTGGCCGTTGCTTTCCACCGGCTACCGTCACTCGTCTAGTTGATTCTAATCCCGTGCATCTGGAACAGGAAATTCCCTTGAACGGTTCATTTCGGATATTGATCTTTGCCGGGAGCCTGGACAAATCCAGAACTGCTCTGGCTGATTTCTGCCAACACATGGAAAAACCTTCGAGCTTCTATTCTTTGTTTGCGACACCCGAGCATTACCCAGACCCGTACTTTGAGAAGCATAATCCTCATTCCAGATTCTTCACCCTTGCAGCTGTATTCATGGAAGAAAAGGATAACGTTGATATCTCCACTCTTCCACGGCTTCTCAAAACGTACAATCATCATATCTACGCCGATGACCTCGTTCATAAGAGGAATACTCGTCCGATGGGCTCGGTCCATAGGATGCTTGGCTTTGACACTAACAGGCCCGGTGTTGTAGTCATACGCCCTGACGGACATGTTTCCTGTATTGTCATGTTGGAGGAAGGAAGCGGAACGGTTGATGCCTTGAACAAGTATTTTGGCACATTCACATCGAAGGTGGCCAGCGGATTAACGATTTCACGACTATGATCACCTTTTGGTTACGTTATCTTCGGATCACTGCATGGCAGACTACACCCGTATTTGGTTATTAGCAGCATATACCTTCTCCTCTGAACATATTATGAAGGGTTAAATTTGCATGAAAATGAACTTTTTTTTTTTAAGAACAGATTTTTATACTTGTCAATCTCATGGCTTCGTAGATCTACGATCTAGATAGCGCCCTCGTAACAGCCCAAACTATCGATAATGTCCGGAAATTTTTGACAAGTGGGCGCCAGAATTTGGAGGTCGGTCTTTACTATTAATATACTGTCCATCTTTAAGGGGCTGAAAATGCTTGCCGGTGATCGGAAACATCGGAATTTAACGGTAGTTTGTATGGAGTTTTTATAGTTAGGATAACCAAATAAAGCCAAAAATAGTTGACGAGTCATTAAAATCAAGACAAACCTTCAACATTGAAACATTCATCCACTCGACCCAACCACCAAAAACTGGAACAGCGATCTAAAGCCGACAAAATGTTTACTCTTACTCTCTCAGCCCAAACATCAAGGTATGTCTATCCTTTAGATACCTGACGATGGTAGAAGTGGCGTGTCAGGGCATCAAATTCACCCCCGCGGTGTTGCCCCTCCATATCAAAAACACCATCAACGAGCTGCATTTTCCGTTGCATCTCGATTCCTTCTAGAGTCGAGAGCATTACTAGAGGAGGATGTATGAATAACCAATACGTCTGAGTGCATAGGGTCACTGACATCCGACCTCAAGATACCCCCGAAGATCCATATTACTACACGTTCAAAGTGCAGTGTACGTCTTGCCGCGAAGTACACCTAAACTGGGTCAACGTCAGCCGATTCGTATGTATACCGCTTCTTCTGAGCCCAAATTGCCCAGTAATATTGCTCTTTTCCGTCAGCCACAAGTGGACTACGTGATGAGGGTCGGTTAAGTTGCTGTGGACACTCTTTAAGATGCAAGTAGGCGGTCAGATTTCGTCGAAAGATGAAAAATGCATTCGATTTTGCCACATATAACCTGTCTACTTTTCTCACGGCGGCTCCTGCATTCGTCAAGTTTCATCGTTACCTGATCGACTTCTCTACTGACCGGTTCTATAGGAGCAGAATGAAGTTCCCGGAAGTCGAGGAGAGGCAAACTTCGTGTGGAAATGCAGGCTCTGCGGGGTGAGTGGATGACTCGGATTTGCGCAACTGCACACACACTATTACTCTTATACATGCAAGTTGTGTGCTAGAAGCAAGAATGTGATACGCAATGTCTACCTTGGGGGACGGGAGTTGACTTGCATGTTGGTAACTAGAGGACCCATTCTGCCAGCATCACCGCTGGGCCAATGGCATTTGATGAGTCGAAGGGCTTAGATGGAAAAGGCCAGAAGATCATCGAGTTCGACTGCCGTGGCCTAGAATTCACCGAGTTCAAGGCAGATGTAAGACTGACCTTCATCGTCAAAGCTACAGAGTACCAATGGCTGACATGCGATACAGGGGAAATGGGAGGCCAAAGGTACAGAGTCTGGAACCAAATTTAGCGACATTAGCCTGGAGGAGAATGAATGGTACGATTTCGACGAGAAGCAGGGCGAGGAGGTCAGCATCACGGAAGTTAGCTGGGAGATCCGTAGAGCATGAAGGACATCTACCTACTAGATGAATATCGATGCAGCTACAAGTGAATTCTTTCAATTGTTTGTATATCTATTTCTCTTTATGGAGAGAAGTGTCGCTGCTTTAGTAAGATTAATAGTATTATATAATCGTTCCCTAAAGCAGCACCAGAACCATCCCAAAAAAAAACTCAAAGTCAAAGATCGCGAAAGTTGAAGCTCCAAAGGAAAAGCAAGCAAATTCAAGACGACGACGACGACGACGAGCAGCAACAGCAGGAAGAAGAGGAAGATCGAGCGCTGGTTAACAGGATATACGCTGCTTGCTGTCGCGAGTTGTGACTACGGTCTTGCGAAGAGAAGAAGTGCTTAATTGGAGCCTGCAAAATGAGTGTAAGTCCCTGCCCGGTTGCTCGTGTGGGATAGATAAAGCAGTCGCTAACAGCAGTTGAATGAGCAGTTCGTTCCTCTGAACCCCCGGCCTATGCTGCAGTCCTTGTACGTGATTATCTCAGCCTGACTTGCTTCCCCGTCTACAGCTGGTTATTGTGGCCGGAAGATACCCAATGCGCCTCACCATTTTCAGTGTCTTATCAGCAGTTGATATGCGTGTTGGGTTCATATCTCTGAGGGCCAGCTGTTGATGCCAGTGATATACCCAAGAGAATACATGGATATGAGGATTTTGGTGTCAATTGCATAAGCTAATGCGTTGTCTGACACTAGGATTAACGAGGATATTGTTGTTCGCCTAAAATGGGGCCAAACCGAGTATAAAGGCCGACTGATCAGTGTTGACTCATACATGAACATTCAACTATCACAAACCGAAGAGTTTATTGATGGAAAGAACACCGGCACGCTAGGCGAGGTGCTTATACGGTATGATGATAACTAAACGCTTCGCATAGAGTTAGATTCTTAGCTAATACTTTGGTACCCCAGATGTAACAATGTTCTCTGGATAGGGAACGCAAAGGGAGTGGAAGACAAGGACGTCCAAATGGGTGATTCTTGATGATGAGCGTATTTTTCTTCACCTTTTTACGCCGTCGCTTGGAGGCGAATACCGCCGGATCTTAACTATCTCACGTTTTCCTTACCTTTCTTATCTATTCCGTGCAGTGGAATGGCGAATGGAGTTTTTACGAATTGAATTGGAATGCAAAGAAAGCACTGCGGGATTCAACAATGAACAAAAAGTCCATCCTATGAAGTCATATGTTACGCGATACCCTCCTTCGGCCATCGGTGACATGGCCACTGCCTAGCTGTGGGAGTCAAGTACAGGATGCGGCGGCCGGACCTTGGAAGAAGCGAATGTAGCAGGTGAAAGAGAAGAGCTTTATCAGAGCTTTACCGCCTGACCAACTCTTTATCATGGCCGTGCATCCGCGTGGCAGGTATATCCCGCATGGCATTGCGTGCGGGTGATGTTAGCATCCCGCTCACTTCCATGTCTCGCATCCGTCCTCTGTTACACCGCATCCTACATGCTTCGGGATAATTAGATCAAGAGAAAGAAAGTTATATTGCTGCTTTGGAAGCCAGAATACTCGTCCAGCGCTAACGGGTCGGTTATACATACGCTGCCATGAGGCGAACACAGCCAACTCCTACACCCACAGGTGACACCATTTCGTATGACAAGATGAAGAGTAAGCCAGATTTATAAGAATCTCGCTCTATCCGTAATGTAAGCTCGGTAGATAGTACTCCGTGTAGAGGCTGAAAGCTGGTTCCTGCGACGGCTTTACGTCATAGGCGGCCGGTCGTTTTTTCCCGGCGACATTAAAACTAACTTGCCCTTCTCGAAGACAAACCCGACGTAGACGTGGACGACGTCGGCGCCGCCACTCTCGAACTGGGGCTATACTTACGAGCGCCCAAGAAGAATAATAGAGGCTGGGCATCCCAATATTTGCTCGGTACCAGGTACATTTTGTTGACAAGAGTACGGAGTAAGCGGGCGTGGCATGGTCAGCGCATTAATCAGATGAAGGAGAGTGGGTGGGCTTCGACGGGCAGAAGGACGAATCCCACCTCCCCATCCATCAGGATGCACAGTGACGTCTGTCCCAGCCTTATTGAACGGATACTAACTCATGGCCTTAACGGTAATAGGATGGCTCCCCCGATCTGAACGCGCATGCGTGCAGCTATTTCCAAGATCCTGGCTTCAAGTCGGTGTAGATGTGCAGGCCCGGTCAAGCAAGAATCAGATTTTGAGCAGGCCTGCCAGAGAACTCCTCGTTCAGTCTCCGTTGAGATCCTTGACGCCGGAGAGCTAAACATACATAAGATACAGGATGAGGGATGAATGACACCGGCCAAGTCTCAAGAATATCAGACTCCTGCTCGGCATGAGCCCGTTTAGAAACGGGCGTTAAGCAGCAGCCAATAATGGGCGATGGGATACATCTTGATCTCAGAGTAGATCTATACACCAGATGGAGTAACCAGTACATCGGTGCATGAATCAGCATGATAAAATAAAAATATAATAAGAAAAAGATGCCTTGATGTTTCTATATCGGTATCTTCCTACGTGGTACAGACAGATCTGACGACAGGCAAGGCATGGTTGCTTTTTCATTTGCCAGGCAGACTGACTTGGTCTCCAGTTAACCGCCACAGTCCGGCACAGATACCTTGAGATGAAGTGGGATTATTGGGCTTCCGTCATGCAACCCGCAGAAGATGCATCAACTTATGCACTCTTCGGGTTTTGGAAGTGTTTCGTCTTTTCGCGCCAGGGTCATTTTTTGCATGAAGAAGTCAATCGATCAAGGACGGCGGGAAGTGACACTGAGAACGTTTCAACATATACTTCGGACCGCACCACACCACACCCATCCAAAGGAAACAGATAATACAGAGAGCATGAAGAGTCAACCTTTAACAACAACACCCAAGCAAGGGGCCATGAAAAAGGATAATTCATGGTTTTCTTCATGCCTATTCGATGACCCATTTCCCCCATCTCTCCCCCCCACCCAGGGCTGCTGGCAGGTCAAAATCACTCACTCCTGCGGCGTGTGACCTGATCAGCGACTTCGCAGTAAAGCAAGGCACGAAGAGGTGTAGGTAGAGGAAGAGTAGGCAGAGAGAGCCAGGCAGCGCTTTCACGCCAGCTGTGCGCCACATACGTCTTTGCTCAGAGGGTACAAGAGCGTGTGAGAGGCCCGTCCGAAACTCGCGAGGGACAGACGCCTTTCCCTCCCTTTCTTTTCTTTTTCCCACTTTGCTTCTTCTTGTCCTCCATTTAGGGGATGGTGAGTAAGGCATAGAGGGAGGGGGGTCCCGAACGATATTCTGGCCCATACGTACACGAAAGAGATGCGTCTCAGGCATCAGAGTGGTCTGGTAAACGGGAAACTCCCATCCTATCCTCAGGCAAAGCAGGGATGAACATCAGAATGGAGAAGACTGAGGATCCCTCGGCGAGCACTGCTGCTCATAACAGACCCCAGGAAAAAAAGGAACTGGTCTGCAGTAGCGTGAGGGCGTCCGCATAGATTGGCGGATGGTCAACGGCACCACTTTTTTGCTTTTCTCCCCCATAAGCCATCCGTCCAAACGCTCACAGGGATAATTCAAAGGGGAAAGACGATGGAGGAAGACACATGCAAGGAGGGCAGGCAGCTATACGTACATAAGCATTTAACTGATGCCCATAATCCGCCCTTACGCTCCGTCGAACAAGCTCGACAACAAGCAGCAATAATTAAAAATCCACCAGAATCTATTTATCAGCACCATCGACTCGTCCAGCTCCGGTATCCATATTTTATACCTTCGACTCTTTTTTTCGCCGTTCAACAAGCAACAACAAGAACGACGAAGAGTTCGGTTAGGCATTTTGCTCTTCTTGCGCAAGAATCCACTCCTATACATTCGGTGGTTCGGGCAACTCGTAAGTCATTCTGGTAGCCTGTGGAGCGTCGCCGCCAGCAACAACGGGGATTATTATTATTTACGTACTGACGAATCCAGGGGGCCAGAAAATAAAAAGGTTCTAGTTTGAAATACTACTTATAACTAGCAAGCCCGTCCGGAGGGATCTCAGGAGACCTACTTATTGCCTCCCAGTCGCTCCTTTTTTCGACCTTCTAGACACATTCGCCTCTCCCGTCTGACTGATATATACAATCTGTCTGCTTCCGCTGCTACATTGAACGTCTTCGTCTACCGCTGCCGTCTACATATCAACATCATCATCATCGTTGTCGTCGTCGTCGATTCACTGAAGCCACCAATCTAAAAGCCGCTGCTCGCGTGCTCAACACCAACAACAAAGCACTACTACAATCTTGAACAACTGCAATTCACTACAAGCAACCACCAGCACTTCTTGCAATGCCGTTCACATCACGGTTCGTGGAGCTGCTAGATGCAGAGAGCCACCATGTTTCCGAAGACGACGTCCGACTGGAGGAGATACTGGCCGAGTGCGAGCGACGAAGCAGCTCACGAGCATCAACCTCTTCATCCTCTCTCTCCTCGTCCTCTTCTTCTTCTTCATCATCCTCTAGCAAGGTGAACATCGCTCAACCAAGCCGCAAGATGAGTACTCGAGACAAACTACGACGGATATCCTACTTTGCACCGAAATGATGCATTACTTTCTCTCGACTCCGACTCCGACTCTGACTCTTACTACTACTTCACGATCCCATGACTTCGTCTCTTGAACGACTCATCGCTTTAACGACTCTCTTTTGCTTCTTATTCTTCTACCAGCGGTTTTCTTCTATAAAAAAGCCCGTCTCTTGATTCGTCTTTTTTTTTTTTTTTTTTTCCACCATCCCATGATCACTTCCATCAGCCTGCGCGCTCTCTGCCATGTGCGATTGAAGGGAACACTGCATGCTTTTTACGACTCCTGTATAACTTCTTTCTCTTCTGAACCTACCTGCCTATACAGATTGTAATATCATTTTTTTTCAGACCGAGATACCCCCTTTGAACACCTTCTATACATTTTTTACTTTTCTGCTTACCTTGAATGTTCTTCTCCCCCCTCTTCCTCCACACAAACACGCTTATGCTTAGATAGTGCTAAAACACTTCAGAAATTACCATCTTCTACATGTCCCACCTCGCCGTTCCAACCATCGAGTGCCGTCTTGTCTCCCCCGCCGAAACTATTAGATTCATACTTCCTCAACCCGCGAACATCTGATCTGGCTCAACGAGGCCTTTCCTCTCCTCTTCTTTTCTTCTTTTCCCCTCCCCAACGGCAAAGATAGACAAGAGATAGACAGGCAGGCAGACAGCGAGCGGCAAAACGCTCAGTCATCTGACGTGAAATTGAATTCCACCGTCTTTTAGGGTTTCCCAATCAATGGGCCTCAGCGACCCTCCATCATGGGCTGGCGAGACCAACGTGTGTGACTCTTGAGTTCCTCCGACCCAAAAAAAAAAAAGTAGAACAAAGCACGCGGACTGAGGGCTCTTCGTAACACACTCTGTACTCCATAGCGAAGTCAGGACATTACTCCGTCGAGAACAGACTATCGTTCGCTCGTGTTCTGAAATTGCCCCTCGGGGGATTGGCCTAGTTGCGTTCTGGCCAGAAAAAGGGGCTTCTTTTGTCAGCAACGGCCGGCTTGTGTGCTTCATATGCTTATTTACTAAGATCGCTGCTCCTAAGATTGAGAGGTTCTGGCATTCTTCCAATCGGTGTCCGGGGGTTCTCCAAGACCGCCCATGGCAATAATCGGCGGGTGATATAGCGTATCACTTCTAGAATCGACGGCAAGCGGAATGCGAGACAGCCAGCCCAGCCAGGCAGATTTGAATTGCTTGCTCGCTGGTCTCGTTGATCTCTCCACTTTGTTCCGAGGACGCTGGTTTCGATAGTGTGTGTTCCTGATCCATCCACCAGAGTTGACGCTGCTCATCCGCATCCTTGCCTTTCGTCCTTTTCTTCGTCTTCGTCTTTCCATGTCTTTTTTCTTCACGAGCCGAGAAGAAGCCGAGGGCTACTGAGTCGTAGAGATTATGTAAGATGCCCCTGGACGCACAGTCAGGGGAGCGAAGGGAGAAGAAATACGCGAGGATAAAAAGTGTAAATGGTCGAAGTCGAGATGTTCACAGCAGTAGGAGATGGTTGTGGATGTAGTTAGATGCAGTAGATGTAGATGTAGATGTAGTCAAACGCCGTTGTTGGTGGGAAGTTCGTGGAGACGGACCGACGGAGACGAAACTGGTTGTTTACCACCAACGTCAATGTCAACACCAACAACAGAACAGCAGCAAAGCCATAGACAGTGAAGATGTCGACGCGGCCGCTGTCTGCTCACCAGAGGTCAGCGTCAAATGCGCCGGCGTCTACCTGCTTCGAAGAGCAGCGAGCAGAGCTTTTGAGAGAGATATCCCTGGTACGTGGATGTTCAGCAGACTCACACAACTCTGGCTAATAACGGTGGCATGATAGAGCCTCGAAGGAGTGCTGCAGAACATCAACAAGTTCAACAGGAACCTAGAGAGTATCATCACGGTATGGCTGCTGAACATCTGAGGGGTGTACTTTCGCTAATGGCGTGAACAGGTTGGGAACGAACTGAGCTCCGTCGAAGGGCTATGGTCACAGTTTGAAGGCGTGATGGGCCGGGGGGAAGAGCAGGGCAACCAAGATGTCAAGGAAGAGGAAGACAGAGACAAGCAGTGATGAATTTACTTGTTGAATGGATGAAATTTACGCAAAGGAGAGAAATTTGGACATGGAAGTTGATTACTTCTAGCATACAGATGCTGTACCGCCAGCTAAGATAGACAAGGAAAGAAAACGAAACACCTTTTACCAGCAATGCATATTCCCCCGAGGGTCAAATTGGATCCCGTGAACATGAACAGAAAAGGACATGAGGAAATAAGGGAAACTAGATGTATAAAAACAGGAGCAATAAGGGCAGACAAGATAGGGCTGGAAAAAGAGATGAAAGAAACAGACGAAGCCGCCTTGGAGATAAGATAGACAGTATGAAAGATGGAAAATAGTCCTAGTGTCAAGATAAAAAAAAAAAGGAGATGAAAAAAGAGAGAGCCGGACGGCAAACAGGCTAAACACGACGTTGGACATGGATCTCGTCTGTCGTCATGTCATACTTACATCAATAGTCGTTGAAAAGAGCGTCATTTCCATGGTTCAAAAAAGAGCCGAAGCATAGAGAGAGAGACAATCAGGTAGAGAAAAGGTGAAAAAGAAGATGCCAGCATCAACAAGTAATGAGGAAGCCAGTTAGAGAATCTTGCAACTTCTCTTCTTCACCTTCTTGCCGCCCTTACCCCTAGACGAGTCCTTGGAGGTCCAGGCACTCTCCTCGATGTCGATGACGGTGTTGACGGCAAGCTCAAACACCTCGTCGACGCCAATCATCTGTTTGCTGCTGCACTCGACGTATGTTGCACCCATGCGTTCTGCAACGGTCTGGCCCTGCTGTGGAGTGACGGGGGTGAGACCCTGGGCCTTGAGGAAGTCGATGCAGGTACGGTTTGAGCGAAGGTCGGACTTGAGGCCCACGAGTATGAGGGGGGTTGTTGGACAGAAGTGCAGTACTTCAGGGTACCACTGTTTCAGTTAGAGGATATTACGGACTCCTAAATATAGAGACTTGAGAGCGGAAATAAAGAGGGACCTACCTTGTCCATGACGTTTTCTAGCGAGACAGGACAGTCAATGGCAAAGCAGACGAAGAGCAGGTCTGTCTCCGGGTAGGATAAGGGGCGTAGTCGGTCGTACTCCTCCTGTCCTGCGGTGTCCCATAGAGCCAGCTCGACGCCCTTGCCCGACGGCTTGTGTATGGTGTGCGAGATGTAGTTCTCAAACACAGTCGGGACGTATTTCTATCCCCCGCCATCAGTATCCTTCGTCATAGAGATAGAAGATAAGAAGAGCCTACCTCTGGAAAGTATCCCTGGGAGTAGCTGATAAGGAGACACGTCTTGCCGCAGCCGCCGTCCCCCACGACCACGAACTTCTTCGAGTATGACGGCGGGACGGTGACCGAGGTGCCCTGCGAGAGCTGCGAAGCCTGCCCTGACGAGACGCTCAGGTCTGTGTTGATGGTGCCGTTGCTGACCCGGGTGCTCTGGCTGCGCAGAGGCTTGCGCCGTGGGGAGAGAGGGGGGGTCTTCTCGCTAAGCACGGACGAGTGACGCCGTATATGGCTGTGTCCATATCGTTCTTCGAAGGTGTGAACCGACATCTCGTCTATCTCTGAAAATTGTCCGTGGTGTTGACGCTTGAGTTGAGTGCTGTTTGTGGTGGTGGTGGTGGTGGTGATGGTGATATCAACAAGCGTCTAAGTCCGAGATAAACAGCGAACGAGTTACACGAGAAGAAGAAGACGAAGAAGAGAAGAGGAGAAGGAGGAGTAGAAGAGGAAAGAAGAAGAAGAATGTTTCTTTCCCGGTGGCGTCTCCTCAGCTGTCTCTGGGCCCTTCTGCTGTCTCGCTGCTCGCCGCGGTCTCTCTGCTGGCTCGCCTGTTGTTTACCCTGCGTCTGCCGATTGCTGCCATGGCAACGCCCTCCCCCGGCCCAGCCCAACCAGCGCTGCTGTCCCGCTTAACCACCGCCTGCAGGTCCTGGCCGGTCGGGTCAGGGATCCAGCTTCAGCTTGATCGGCCATGGAGCTCTTCTTCCTCGTCTTTCGTCGTGGTGGTGGTGGTCCTGGCCGGCCTGGTTGGCTCTCCTGGCTGGGCTTCTATACTATGAGTATCACCAGAGAGACTTGGACGGCAGAGGCGCACAGCAGGCCATAGGCGGCCGTTGCAGACAGACTGTCTCTGCTGTCCTGGATCCTGCCAGCCAGCCAGTCCGCAATGGCATTCCTCTCTCTCGTCGTCGTCGCCGTCCTCGCTCTCCTGTCTGGCCGTGCGTGCCTGTGGCGTCCAATCCTCCCCGTCTTCCTCGGCTCAAAGGAGTCCGCCCTCCCCCTGCCAAGCGCGCACACAGTCGCAGGCGGCTGCGATCAGCTTCGACTAAGCAACGACAGACTGCATCTACTACTTCTACACGTTCTAGCCATCAGCGACGGACAGCCAGGAAGACAGCTACAGCTTGCGGCGGATGCTCGATGGCTTCTGCTGCAGTCGCTCGCTGCTAGTTAGAGAACCCGCACAGTCCCTACTCTTTCGCTCGCAGCTTGGTCGAGACAGCAGCCTCCATCCCAGGACGCAGAACAGCGCCAGCAGCACCGCACAGCATGGCCGCAGACACAGAGAAGGAAAAGGAAAAGACCAAGATAGACGCCGGACTCGCTAGCCTGAACCACTGTGAGTCCTCGCCGTCTGGTTCTCAATTCGCTGATCGGTGACTGATTGACTGACCACCTCACCTCCGCCCCCTTCCCAGATCAGAGGAAGCTGCCGGCATGGAGATACAAGCTACGACAGCGCACCCTGCCCCTCGTCCGGTGGGAGACGCCGTACCTGGCATGGCTGCAGGAGAGGATACGCACACCCTCGCTGGATTCCTGGTTTGCCATCACCGCGAACCTGGGGACGCATACTTTCTACATGGTCATGCTGCCCGTCCTCTTCTGGACCGGGCACACGGGCATTGGTCGGGCGTGAGTGAGCTGCCTGTCTCTTCTGATGAGTCGAATTTTTTTTTTTTTCTTCCAGAGTTACATACCTACTTCCACAGAGTGAATGTTAATATTGATCGATGGGATCTACAGGGTGGTTCATCTGCTCGCTGCCGGAGTCTTCTTCAGCGGGTTCCTGAAGGACCTACTGTGTCTGCCACGGCCGCTTTCTCCCCCGCTGCAGCGCATCACGATGTCCGGCTCGGCGGCGCTGGAGTACGGGTTCCCGTCAACCCACTCGACGAACGCAGTGTCGATAGTCGTCTACGCCCTGCACGCGCTACGTTCGCAGTCTGATCTCGCACCGCTTGCATCCACCTTACTCCGGACGGGACTGTACGTCTATGTCACCTCTATAGTGATTGGGAGGCTTTACTGCGCATGCATGGATTCCACCAGTAGTTGCAGCATGCTCGAGCTCTGCTTGGCTTCATCAATGCGTCTACGGGCCTAAGTTTGATGAATACCTCTTTACCGGCTCGATCAAGGAAGTCCTAGTCGTCATTGCTATCATCATCGTGCTAGTCCGTGTGCACCCGGAGCCCGCAGACTCTTGTCCCTGCTTCGACGATAGTGTTGCTTTTGCTGGCGTCTTTGCCGGAGTAGAGCTGGGCAACTGGCACTTTGCGTCAACTAAATACTCGCTTTCCGTCCCTACCCCGGCCACGGTTCCGTTTGACCTGCAGCGCATGGGTTGGCTCAAGACCGTGCTTCGCATTATAATTGGCGTGGCATGTGTCGTCGTATGGAGGGAAGTGATGAAGCCCACGCTGCTCAGAATTCTGCCGCCGCTGTTCAGGGTCATAGAGCGTCTGGGCCTGAGTCTGCCCCGACGGTTCTTCAAGCGTGCTACGTAGGTAGCCTCCTTCCGCGCCCTAACTCCCTGCATCATTCCACTAACAATTTCGACAGGGAATATACGCGCATCCCGAACCAGCTAAAGTACGACGACGTCATGCCAAACGTCTCGGACATTCCATCCATGCTCACCTCTATCCGTCACCCCCGACGGCGGGCCATCTCCATCGGCCCACAATCAGAAGCCGACGCCTATGAAGCCATTGCGTACCGACAGGAACGCCGACGAGCCAGCGCAGCGTCCGAGAACGGCCGGCCGTCCACTCCGTTGCGCGAGAACGTCAAGAGCCCAACACTACGGCCCACCACGCGCTCTAAACGGACGGCCTCTAATGTGTCAGACACGCAGTCTCCCTCGAGGAGTCTTCATGATTACGAGAACATGATGGGATCTGGAGCCCAGATTTATGAAGAGGGCAATGGGCAAGCCGTAGACGCCCTTGCTAACGGTAATGGGAAAGTAACGAATGATGAGGATGATGAAAAGGACATGTTTTTGAAGATCACGCCACCTAGAGTGCGGTATGACGTAGAAGTTGTCACGAAGCTGATTGTTTACTCCGGTAGGTCCCCAGCTTGCTAATTCTTTTGCGTGTCATATGGACTAAGCTAACTGCCGCCTAGGCATCGGACTGGTTGCCGTTGAAGGCAGTCCCATATTATTCCACCTGCTGGGTCTCGACTAAAAGTAACTAACTACTACTCTGTATATACATACAACACACAACCCACCCACACTATCATAATTAATTAGAACTTTGCATATCCATTATACCTCATTGCTTTTTCTTTGTTATTCACTTTCTTATTCGTAGTCGCTTTTGGCTCGTCGTTTTCTTTGATGTCGTCAAGACAAAGATAAACGCCATGACTAAGCCCGCGCCTAAACCACGTGATATGTCCAAAAAAGGTTGCGCAGGGTTCACCTTTTTCGCTTTCTCTCCGCCTCCAGAAACGCGTTTATTACCCCATTAGGGAACTTGCTCGGCTTCATATAAAACGAGAAGCGCCTCATGATAGCCGCGGCCGCACACTTCATCTTTTCCTCTCCCTTCTCCCGCACGCTGCTCTCTCCCTTTGACTCTCCCACGCCTCTCCAGCCTCTTTTTTTTTTGTGCTTTTGCTGCTGCTTCCTCTTCTGCGCCGGCGTTCTAGTAGTTCTCTTCATGCGCCTGCTGGACGATCTGTCTTTTTTACCCAGAAGCCTACAGATCTGCCAGCGAGTATACCATAGCGTTGTGTCATTTGTTTTCCTTCCTAGTATACCCCGTATACCCGCCATACCCGGCCGTCAGAGCCTCAGCTTCAGTAGCAGTAGCCTGCTTGCCTGGAGACTGCCTAGGGGGCGCATCCGTATCTTCCAGGAGAACAGCAGGTCTCTTCCTGCATCCATACCATCTATACCACCTATACCTCCGCCTACGTCTACATCTGTATCATCTTCTACCTCTGGTGGCCCATCTGGTGGCAGAGGTGATTCTTACCTCCCTCGTAAGTGCGTGCTCAGTCTCTATGCTTCTATCCTCTGTCCTCCATCTCCATTTCCATCGCCATAGCAACATGAATGAAGACTCTCACTTCACTTCACTTTGCCTGCCCGCTTATCTCACCCACACAAAGACGCGCTTCTCCCTCCCTCAATATCAAAACGTCACAATATTTTCTTTCCCCTCTTCTTTTTGTCCTCTCAACAACATCACCACGTCTATCACCGTCTTTACAGCGTCAACGTCTACTCACCATCCTTGCTTTATAACGTTCAAGTCTCCTCTACCATCTGCTCCTTTGTCTACCTCTGCTCTGCCAAATAAATCAGATCGGCTCTCTCGACGTCACCGGCTTCAAAGCTCAAGGTCTTGACATCTTGTCTTCTCTCCTTTTACCACCTTGCAAGACTGTCAAAGCCCTTTTTACTCTTCTATCACGTTCAAAGACGTCTGTCACTGTCTTCTTTATCCTCTCTACCGCGTGTATCAGGTCTATCAGACCGTCTTCTCTCTCGTTGCCCTTCTATCACGCCCAGAGACTCCTGTTTACCCCTTACCAAATCTTCTTCAACCACGCGTATCAAGACTATCAAGTCTTCTCTACGTCTACCAAGACCGTCGCGTTTATATCCACCTCTATCAAGGCCTTTGTAGCTTTAAAGCTCAAAGTCTTCTCTTCTACGCGTCTCACGTCTTCAGACTGCTACCAAAGTTCCCTTACAAACCTCTATCAAATCCATCACAGCCACTCTACAATCATCACAATGGCCTTTCAATCAGAGCAGATGGAATGGGAGCCTACTACCCCCATCAGAACTCTTCTTCCAGGACAAGTTCTAACTTTACAGCGCGAATTACTCGTTGCTCGTGCAGGTCGAAGACGCACCATGGGACTAGAATATCCCACCACTGCAGCCGACCACCGTCCAGCACTCACCAGACGTCCTCTGGAGAGAAGCTCGCCCAAAAGGCAGTGGGCTCGTATCCTAGCTGGCGTCGATGTCAGGTTTGGAGAAGCCCCGCCTGCTGCTCCAGAGAATGGTCCCGTTGCTCAGCCTTGTTTACCCCTGAACAAGGACTCGCCTCCTATCACGCCTAGAAAGCGCGTTATTGAAGAAGTCGACGAGCCAGAGCAGTATGAAGACCGTTTCTCTGACCAGAATGGACAGGAAGCATCCTCGTCTGTACCAAACGTAAGTCATGTCATCTATGTTTCTATCTTCTGTCTTCTTGGTTACTGATACGTGTCTAGGTTATTGATTCCCCTCAAGATGTCTCAATGATAGATGTCTTCACTCCTCCCCATCAGTCCCAGGAAGCCGCTCTCGCTCAACCTGTAAGTTTCTTCTTCTTGTTCACTATTTGTAACCTACTAATGTCTTTCCATAGAGCCCACCACAAGTGGAAGAAACCGCGTCCTTGCTAGAAGCTATAGGTCTCAGGAGTCCCGAGGGCACGAGAGTGAAGGTGAGAATTATCTATCTATCTACGTGATATATATAATGCTAACGTGTTTACTAGCGACCTAACTGGTTTGAGCTACAAAACAGAAATCGAGATGGCATGGCAGGCTCAGTAAGTGATCAAGTGCCCCTTTTCTGCATATCGATACAGTAACAGCTAACCAAACCTATAGAGCCTTGAGGCATCACTGCAATTCGGCAGCTCAAGCCACGGAGCTGTCGATGTCAATTCACTTCTTTCGCAAATTCCAGGCAGCTGGCCGGCGTCCCCGCCCAGATCCCTGGCGGCGCCAGTTGACCTGCCCGTCCAGCCCTCTCCGGAGGTAAAGGACGCTCCGCCATCACCAAACTCTCGAGCTCGAGAGTTTATGATGGTGGGGGGCATAGAATATGCCGGCCCGGAAGGAAGTACAGTGGTGCCTCGCCCGGCTGACGTCCCCATGACATCCTTACAGCCTGAGTCACGCCTTCTCAAGGTAAGCTGCTCCCTAAATACCCCCCTTGATATATGGCTTTTGTTAACCCCTTTTAGACTGTGGAGTGCCTCCGGTCTGTTTACAGTTTGCCAAAGTGTTTAATGGACTGCTATGGCTGGACAATGCAAACCAGCAAGAATATGATTTCGTCGGCGAAGAGAATAGCCATCGATTCATGGACGTCCCAGACCTCGCAGCCTACCCCCTTACCCGCTGCTACAAGGCAATCTCCACGCAGAAGAACCGAACCGAGACGTGACCGGAAGCTCCAGGGCTCGAGCATGGAGCAGCGTCGCGCACGCCAACTCCAAGAAAAGCGCATGAAGAGAAAGAAGACAGCATCCCGCGCTGTCCGCGAGCTACAGTCCAGTATTACAGCAAAGCTTTACGTTCCTGAAGCAAAGCCAGTGTCTGTGCCGTCTGCTGCTCCTGCTCCTGCTCGGTTAGACCAGCGAGGCGTCTCTCGCCGCCGTCGATCGAAGACTACTAAAAGTTCGATCGAGAAAATCATGCCGCACAAGCCTGGTTTCGCTATTGCACCAGGCCGCGTTACCAAACAACGCATTGTGCGGCCGGCAAAAGACACCTTCAGAGGATCGATAATTGAATATCGAGGCTATCGCCCAGATGCCTCGTTTGAGGAGAGACGTCGGAGAGTCGAAAAGCTGAACTTGGATTTCGTTTTAAAATCCCGGCCTGCCCAAGTTCTCCTACCTGAGCCACAACAACAACCCGAGTCACCCGTCGCGCCAGTGACTTCAGAGCTCAGCGAGACCTCCGAACCTCCGCCACCCGCCAGTGCTTCGGTGCTATCTATTACCCCTGGACCGTGTATCACCACCACAAAGCCATCAATCCCAGAGGGTGTAACACCCACCGACTCATCTCGTATAGATGAGTCGTACGATGGCTATACACCGAGACCAGCAGGCCCACGCACTCGGCGGCGAGTACACTGGCATGAAGCCAGTGGTGCTCCACTCGGACAGCCAGTTGTTGACATCCGCGTCTATGACCCCAGCGCTCCAGTTAGACCAGCAGCAGGGGTGGAAGACAGTCAACAGCCGGCACACACAACTATTGGCGACAAGTCACCAGAGGGCCCTTTCATCAAGCCCATCAGCAGCAAATGGGACTCGCGTCTCACTGCTGATATGTCCCTTCCCGATTACCGACAGGTTGGGACAACGATCTCTGGTGACCCCCTGACCCGTAAGGATTTTGCGACATGCTACACCCCGTTAGCGTGGCTCAATGACGAGGTGATAAACGCATACCTCGCAATAATCCTTGACTACGCTCGAAGGGCATCGGGCAGTTCAGGGAGGCACCGGGAGCCCAAATACCACGCCTTCAATTCATTCTTCTACTCTAGTCTCAGGGACCGAGGCTACGAGTCCGTACGGCGTTGGGCTTCCCGGGCTAAGATTGGGGGTCCGGCCTTGTTGGGGGTAGAGGTGGTTCTCATCCCTATCCACAACCAAGCGCACTGGACCCTCATGGTCGTCAAACCGAAGGCTCGAACCATAGAGTACTTCGACTCCCTAGGCGGCGCTTCACGAGCTCACATCGACCGAGTGAAGGAATGGCTCCAGGGAGAGTTGTGTGACCTCTTCGTCGAAGAGGAATGGCGGGTTCTCCCGACGAACTCTCCACAACAGGACAACGGCAGCGACTGTGGCGTGTTCCTCCTAACTACTGCTAAGTTGGTGGTGTTAGGCTTGCCTCTCTCATATGGGGCGAGAGACATTCCCACGATCCGCAAGAGGATCGTTGCCGAAATCCTCAATGGAGGGTTCGAAGGAGATTTCGACCCGAAGGTTGAGTTCCCTGTCAGACCTAGGCTGTAATAGCCTGATATCTGGTTCATAGCTCTATACCGGACGGAAGAATCAATGAACAACCTGCTTGTTTCCGAGTGTGTGTGGCGTAGAGATGGATGAAAGCATCGCCTCGGATTTTTTTTGAATCCGCTGCACGACACGCCCAAGCTTCCTTCGGGAATGTTTCGGGTGTGACTGTTCGACATTGGCAGAGGTGGTTGCAGTCCTGTTGTGCCCCGAACTTTTGGGTCCTTGCAGTTCCCATTGTCGAGGGTGCTCAGCCTGTTTTTCGCCCGAGCCTTTATGGAGCAGACTTTCCGTTGCCAGGCATGTTCCTTATCCTACCTCCCTCAACAATTTCTTGATCCCGCTGGCGAGCTTCCGCAAAGGTCTCGGGGCGATGGTTCCGACAAAGACGACTTCGAAGCAGGCCCTCTTCACTGAGAGCCAGTAAAGTCCTCTTCCACTATACCATAACCATGAAGTCATGTCGATGTCGGCTCCCGATGCCAAAGCTGCAAATCTAGTTTGGGGATTTGCAGATTCAAGAATCTACGATAGAAAAGTGGTGTTGGAGTTTTGGGACCGCATGTGTGCGGTGTGTTTTGATATCTTGTTTTTTTTCTGTGTATATTTAGCCTGGAGTTGGGGCTTTTTTTTTTTTTTTTTTTTTGATACTTGATTTGGGTTTTTACGTCTTTTTTTCGTTGCGCGTTTAATCGCGCTGTATGAATAGATTTGGAGAGGAGTGGGCTTTACTGCCCCCGTAATGCATTTGATGAATTGGTCTTGATTCGATTTTGATAGTAACTATGGTTTATGGACCCATGACGCTTTGTTGTGATGGGGCCTCTATAGCTTTGAGGTTTGATAAGCCTATATTTGATGAACAACGGTGAATCACCGACGTTACAACGATGGAAGATCCCAGAGTGATTAACAAAGAACAAGAGTAAGAAGTACTATTCCAAGCAATTGATTCTATCACTACCAAGTTAAGACTGACAATGAAATCAATACGCAGGCGCTGGACCAATACCGCTTCCCTTCACTCGAATATAACAATAGGCAGGGTCATAGATGCCGTCTATTCGCCTACTTAATATAACTAAGAACCATTCGAACTCTAAGCTCGGAACAGCCAAAGGACTAGCCAACTAGTTAACCAAACCGTTAAAAGGGGGGGAGAATGGAAAAACGCTGCGCATCACAAGGGGCAGATAGCATGGACAGGCCATTAAATGACCTCAGGGACTCCTTGGGTCCTAACCCCATCAACACGACAAACTACTTTGCAATTTTCCTCCTGGCTGTCTTTGTCATTTGGCTTGGGTTTTGTCTCTGGCTTTTTGCCCTTATGCTTGCCTTTGCCCTTCCCTGTGCCCTTATTTTTTGGACGGCCACCAATCTTCCCTTTGCCGACCTGTTTCTTCTTGGGTCTAGGGCGGCCGCGTCTAGCGGATTGGAGGGAAGGGACTTTGTCCGACCTGTGCTGCGTGCTCTCGCTGTCCTCGTGCTTATTGTGCTCATCGCCTTCGGTTTCTGATCCAGGATTAGCCCGGATATGTTTCTTATGGGCTCCTTCAACATCGGTAGTTTTGTTGTATACCATCTCCACCCATTCAACGCCCATATATACCGATGAACCGACGGTCATGTTCCCCGTCCATTCGCCGCCATCGCTCCATAAGTTGAGGATCAACATACTCGGGTGTTTGGGAACCCCATACGTTTTCGACACTAGAGGTTCACCATTAAAATACCAACGGCTAATATCTTGGAACCAGTCAATCCGATGGTCTCCCCAGTGGGTCCAGGGAACAGCAATTTCTACCTCATCACTTGCACCGGGTATGGATTCATCAGTCTTGGGGTCCCAGTCTGGCTGATTAGCATATCGGACGAGGTTTGGGGGATCGCCTGTGAGAATTTCAATGTCTGATTCGTCGCTTTTTCCGTAGTATGTGAAAACTCCTGCACATGCACCGACTGGAGGGCCCTTTATCCAGTAGCTAGTTGGGAGGAAATAATGAGCATCATCCGTTACGGTACTTATGTTTCCGCCCTTTTCTTTGGGAAAATAGAACCAGCCCGAGTTGGCATATAGACGTAGCCTGACACGAAGCGAAACATGAACAATATCAGTATCATGAGTCTGAACTTCAGCCGTGGAAGTATGGTTTTCCATCCGTACAGTGCGAAGAACCATATGTGTTGTTTCGTCTCCCCTTTCCGTGCTATTGCGCACTATGAAGACATTATGATGTGAATTTTTAATCGGGATCGGGAAGAGGGCTGATCCCTCTCTGTTCCAGTTCTGGACGTCCCAGTCCTCGATGAAGCGGCTGCCAGCCAGAGTAGGGTGGAACTCGTTGCTGTCGGCGTTGGGATCAGGGGCTCCTCCAGCCTCATTATCGCGGCCCTTTGAGTCGAAATCAATCACCCTGCCGGGTATGTGTACGGGTATGCCTCCATGTCCGGTTCCAGGCAGTCTTCGAGAGGTTATGTTGCGTCTGTGTTGCTGCGGGTGCTTCTCCTTATCTGCAGCAAGCTCTAAACCCCGGCTTCGGAAATCATAGAAGCGGTGATGTCTGAAATACCCCGGGTCTTCACCAGAAACGATGTAGCACTCGCAGGGATCGGATGGGTTATTGTTGTTAAGGTCTCTTTCCTCAAGCTTGTCACTGCTACTGGCCGGCGTTGATGCTGTAACAGGGCCGAGAAGGAAGATAGAGCAGAACAACCCGGCCAGGGGAGCAGTATAGAGGCCCCTCATAGCTGGTAAGGTGTGTATATATCATGGATAAAGAGGTATTGGGTTCTTCATTTGCAAACTGGGACGTCATGTACTTATATATCTCGACGCCATTTTTCTGGCCACCGTTACCATGGTTAGGAAAGAGCCAGCCAGTATCAACAAAATCATAATCGTCATCGTCATCGTCATCACAATGGGAAAACAGTATTCACCGGTATCATAGCTCAGCAGGCCAAGTACTGCTACATTAATCAATTTATACTGCTTAGAGATGACCCTAGCCATCTAAGTCTTAGAACTCTCCACGATTCCATGAGCAACAAGCTTCTCCAAGTACTCGGGGGTATAGATATTCGTGAACTTAATGCCGTGAGAAGGGTTCTGCTTTGATAAATCTCTTAGGGAATACGATATACACACCTCAGGGAAGATACGATATCTTTGGGGCCGTCATTATCATTATTACCTCGAAGAACTGCTCGTTTATCCATGAGGTCTTCGATAATAAAATCATCCCCAAATAATAATTGGTTATTATGCTCCTTCTATTAAAATATTAAAGACTTTTATCCAATCAAAGGGCAAAGCCAAGACCTTAATATGTCCAATCATATCTATCCGTGCGGCCTAAGTTCAGTGATCACGTGTACGTAATATATATTCAATCCAGTAGGTCTTGGCGTCGTTTCCCTTTTCGTCCGCCGCCAAAAGCGTCCACTCGGGGCGAAGTCGCTTTTGTTGTCGCAGGAGAAAAGATATAAACTGCAGTCCTTTTCTTGTCTCGAAGACGGTCAGGACAGGGACTGTGAGAGCCGTGGAAGCGTTTGTTTCGTCTTGTTTCCCTTAACTTCTCTGCTAGATCGTGATAGGGTGCACGAGTGACTGTGCAAAGCACTTTAACTTCGAGCTACTAGCAGAGAAGAACCAGGGAGAAGGCTAGAGACACAATATGTATACATATGAAGATCGATGCGACGATTATATTTAATATGCTGCTATGTCGTTCATCTGCAGACGAAAGACGTGGCTGGCTGCTTCTAAAGTGACCACTTTGATTATACGCCCAACAGCTCTCTCTCCCATTCTCTCTCCGGGGGACCCTGCCTGTCGGCTGTGCCTCATTCCAACAACTCTGGGCTGGGCTGTTCTGCCTGGACATCCTGCCGAGTGAGACGCCTTACTTTCCGTTTGGATGGTGACTGGACCGATCATGATCCTGGCTGTCATTCAGCCTCGACGCCATACTCTGTACATCTTAGGAAGTTGCTGCCTGCCCACCATGATACCCGATACCTAAATCATACGTTATGATAGTACATGATAACGCCATAATATATGGATCGATAACGTTGACAACGAAATCAGTGTAGCATGTGGAGCAAACGAGATCCCATCTCAATGAAGACCAACTCCATGTCTCTCTCGCTGAGCCTCATGTCCGAACTCAGCCTTATGATCTAAAATCTGTCCCGGCCCGACAGGGTATATCCATCCATAGGTTGGGTATCGAACGTGCCATGTCCATCATGAGCTTCTAGATAGCCTATCCGAAAGAGATCAAACATAGCATCTGGATGGACCTGTTACTATTCACAGATGGGATCGGGCCACATGACTCACACAGCCAGCGCGACCAGGCACCAGGCCTAGAAGCTGAGTGGCGGCTTCACTTGGATCGAAGTTACAACACCAACAACCGCGGGTTTTGTTGATCCACTGGGAGCTCTCATCGATGATGATCGATGATGGCCTATGATGATGTTGCCATCCTCTGCCTCGAGTACGGAGTGCTTTCATATTGTCCAGTCAAGTACGGAGTAAAGGCGACCGCGTGACGTACACCGTAAGCTGTCCATTTTATTGCTGTGATCCGTGTATTGCTCATTATATCTCTTTCGCTCATTTTTCGCTTTTACCGTCTTATCTTCGTCGTCCTCGTTAAACTGACCGTGTCAAGCGTCTTGATGACTCGATGACTCCTCAGGGACGCGCCGAAGAAGCACGAATCTGTCACGCAGTCATGTGCCGGGTATGTGGGAAGTCAGGAGTCCGTCTCCTACCCTCCTCTTTGTGCAAAATCAACAAGATTAAATACCGTCATGCCACTAGCGCATACACAGGTGTTACCCTTGCTGTGATACCCCAGGGATCCATCCGGAAGCCCAAAGCACCTTGTTTGTCCAATCATCGGACTAAGCTATCTTTGTCCAGCCAATGGCGCAAGCCTCTGTGGCACCCCTGGCGCCCACGGCCCACCGCTGATGTCAGGCTGCGTTTGGGCAGAAGCCTGCCTTTGTGTCCTCCCTTTGCTTGCTCTACCTTAGTTAGAGACAAGCAAACAAGGAGAAGGGCAGAGGTTTGCCTGCTAGTAGTAGCAGCAAAAGAGTCTGCTACTAGAGGGCCTCCGTGAGAGCAGGATACGGGTATATGCTCCGTGAGGGCGGGGAGGGAGGTGGAGGAAGCGAAGGAGAATAGATTACGGATGGCGTGCCACGGCAGCGCCGGCTGATGCAGGCGAGCGACCATCGTATTCCGTGCATGGCGTTGGATCTGGCTTCCGCTTCGGGAATAGTGAGCCCTACGCTGGCACAGGCCATCCCTGTCCAGCTTTTCTTTCATGCTTTTTCTGCGTGTTCAGCGGGACTTGGCGGCGCTCATCCAGCCCTGGCTCATACAAAGACTGATCGATGGCCACCGCCCCCTTTGCTGGCCACTGTTCCATACTCCATACTCACCGTCAGCGCCCATCAAGACTATCGACATCGACATCAACATCAAGAGTGTCGTCCCTGCGACATCGGTTTAATGGATATATTAGTCTAGACGCCAAACTTCGCCTCACAACCACACATACACCCGATTTGTTCAAAATGAATACCACCTGTGCTATGGTCTAGGAGCGGACGGTTCATTCATACCAACGTCTATGTCGAAGACTCGACATCGTCTATGAATACCGCTATCCGCTAATCGACCATGACCACCATCACCACCGAACGAAGCCCAGTGCTCCTGAGAGCCACGAGCATGACGGGGGGTAGCCCCCGGCTGTCCCTGAAGCGCGAAATATCTCCTCCATCAGCTGTCGACTCCCAGCTGTTGAACCACATATGTGACCGATTAAATCAACTGGATACCACTATCCATGAGCTTCGATCGTCCGTCCTTACCAAGGAATCATATGCCGACAGACGCAATAGAGAAGATGAGTTTCTTCGACGAGAGTTTGATAACCAGCGTGTCCGTATCGATACTGTTGGCGGCAAAACTCGATCGGATCTGAACCAGGTGAAGACAGATATATCTCAACTTGTTACCGAGATCGTCCAGCTCCGATCAAACTTCAACCAACTTTCTTCCAAAGATGGTTACCGGGACTCTGACCTTTCTCGCCTTCATGATCACCTCGACCAGCTTCATCTTGACGTTCAGCGTATGCATTCAGAGTTATGCTTGACCAGAACGGATCTCAGCCAAGAACAATCTATCGTCAGCCAACTAAGACTCGATGTCCTTACTCTCCAACGTGAAGCTCGCCAGCAGTTTGGGGATATGATATCTCGTTTTGACGTTCTGGACTCCAGGATGAAGCATATGGACCGCATTCGATTCAACTCGCTCGCAATCACAGCTCATGCTCCCATCACCCCCGTGCCTGTCATCGACGTTGACGGCTCCATCAGGTTTCCCAGCTACTTCCCACGAACAGTCTGGAACTTTTGGTGTTTGAAGAAAATGAATAGGGGTGAGTGAATCTGACATTCATTGATACGTATCTTCCCCCAAATTCCAAGTAAATTAACTTTTCTTTTCCCCTTCTCTCCTCCAGCACATCGTCTTGTTGAACTCGCTGAGTTCTACCAGCTCGAAGGTTATCAATACTGGAGTCGCATGGCGAATCCTCAAGAGTCGACCTTTGCAACAGACGGGTATATGAGTGATGATAGTGACTCCAGCGAGTTGCCGTCTGATATCACTCGATCAGAAGCTGCTCGTCTATATCCAGAAGCCTGCCATCAAGCTCTCGCAGCCACCTTGGGTCTCGTATACTATAAGATCCGCAACGAGATGGGTGAAGGTCGTCATTCTCACCTCATGCCTGCTCATGCCGCTCCCAAACGCACCCAGGAGGAGGTTGTATCTCCACAATCCTCTCCCAGACGCCGAAAGGTAGCTCGTCGTTCTCAAGACATTGCATCGCCAACAGGAAGCGCCCTTCCTCACAAAATCATCACCAATTTCATGACTGCTCCAGCCGGTGATGCCAAGTCTATTGTATCCGAGGGACTCGACAAACTCGTATGGAACGTCGAACAGACCCAGATCTCGGAGGAGACGATGTCTAAGTTCTCTGACTTCGTCAGGGACGAGCCTAACGCTCTGTTGCTCCTTCAAGCCCTCGAACGTGGCCGTATCAAGTTGCAGCCTAGCCATATGGAGCGAGCTCGCGTCTCTCCTACCGAGACATCTTCCAAACGAAGCTTTAGGTCTGCAAAGCGTGGTCTGCACGAGTCTGGCTTGGGTGAGGCAAAGAGTGACGACTTTGCTAGTGAGATGAACACCGTGCCAACCGAGATCATGTCTCCACATTCTGCCTCCCGGTCTGAAGCTGAACAAGAAGACGAGGACGAGGCTCCCCCTTCATCCTCTCCCCCTGAAGCAAAGGAATAGGTCGCGATGACCCTCCTTTACACTGTTACCTGTTGGCGATGGTGGTCTCATTTGATATCTGGTCCCTGGGCTGTGTCTCGTTTGACTTGGACTTCTCTCTCTCTCGTCTATTTTTGGATGAAAGAGGGGGCGGTCACGTTATACTCACGTGGTCCTCCACTCTCGTCACTTTATATCGACTTCAACCTTGCTCAACCTCAACACTCGCTCTATAATACGCATCTATACCAACTACACTACCCTGCGTAACGACTTAATGACTTGACCGTCGACAGTCAATGCATTTCCCGGTGTTGTCATTCACATTCTTACCTGGCTGGGATCGGATCGGCTTGGTTTTTGTTGGGCTTCTGGCTTCTTTCCACGGCGGCGGCTTCATTGCATTCAATTGCTTGCATAACGCGGACTTTCGACCTGGAATGGGATTGGTTTACGGAACTGCATTTATGGATGGCACACGGATGGGTCAGGCGTCCTTGCTTTCAATCAACCGAGATACCTCCTTTCAAATATCTATGTAATGATATTTCAAATGCTGTCTACCCACGCCATGGCCACGATCAGCGCTCAACTGCTATATTCCATCCCACTTCCTTGTCCCTCGATCCCGATAAGTCATCAAGACTATACTTGGAACCTTCTAAGACTATAACCCAACCCAACAAGTTCACACTAACGAACACCCGCGTTAACTTGGACTATAAGCAGTCCTTCAAGCTGAATATTTAGACACTAGTGTCACCCCTACATCACCTATATCCTGCTTACTATCATATACCCTCACCGTATATTCCTGTCTCTCTTTTTTTCTGGCGTTACTTGGATTGGCGAATGGAAAGTTTCGTTTTGTAAATAGCTATCATTAACGTGATAGGTATTAGGTTTCATATTAGTCACTATTTCAATATCTTCTCTTCCACTGTCGTAGATATGTTCCCTGTATATTCCGTAAGTAAGTTCTTCTCGACCTTAGATTGTGATCTATATCTTGGCTCCCAGAAGGCTGATGGCTTGGCTCTTCCTGATAGACTAGCCTCTTTACTTGCTACATATGATCGTTGAGAATGGAAACAAATCGCGCGCTCTTTGCATTTTTATATATTACAATGATGATATAATGACTAGGACAACATTTATATTAAATCATCTGCTGCCTATCTTGACAGCCAGGGCCCGGGCTAGACGCATCATGTGACAACATTCTTGGGTTCCGTCTACATCCGAGCACAACAACAACCACCTCCTCAGCTCCTCAGAGCAGTTCTACGACTGGTAAAGTCTCCTGGTCCTGTGGCCTTGGAGTGAGTCTCCTGCTCTTGAGGAACTTGTAGTCCGGCATGGCCTCCCTCACTAACCGCTCGATTCTCTTTCCGGCGCGATATCCAAATTCCAAACACCATTTCTTCGCCTCCGTTTCAATATCAATAGACCCTGCTGTTTTGCCTTGAACTATACCCCCAGAAGCAAGGAGAGTTGACAGATATCTCTTCGTGAATGGATCCATCTGCTTCTTCTGCTTCACACTAGCAGGTGTCCAGGAGAAGCTAAGCTGTGAGACGTCCATACCCATGATCTCAGCGAATCTGACCACCACGTCAGGATCAGTCATTATGTCGTCTGCATCAAGGATGATGGGCCATGTATTGCGTCCATCTATGTAAGATTCGGCTGCCGTCAAATTTCGTGAATACCACTCGTATAGTGCCCGGGTCCAGCGCAATGTCATGCAATGTTCTCCCAAGGAATCAGCCTCTTCGTCATTTGCCGGGGTCTCCAGCTCCCACAAGGCACGGTATAATGATGGGAAAGCAAGGGCAGGATGTCTGATGAGGAATGCTGGTGACCATGTTTTGAGGAACTCGTCTGGCAATACGGTCTGGTTGAGAAATGACTGTTCCGGTTCTAGACCGTATGATTCAGGAATTTGAAGCGCCCATGGGATCTCGTGGGGTATGTTGTTTGCGCCAAAGACTAGCTCGCTGAGTGCGGTGGGCTTGACCAAAAAATGAACATGTTCCTTTATGATGACTGAACGACGTTGTAATGATGCTGCCTCCAGGTATTCTTGGAATTTATCAAAGCACTCCTGGTAGTTCTGTTGCACTTGTTGTATTTCATTTGGTGTCCAATCTGCTATACCCTTCGAACGGAGGCCGAGATCCGTCATCAACTTTATCGTCGGCAGGAAAATATACCCACCACGGTCATCTCCAGAGACAAAGTCGGGCTGGTTATCCAGACCTAGCATTCGAACTAGGAGGTTGGAACCAGTACGGGGATAGGTGATCAGGTAGAAACGACGTGGGTTATGTGACTTCATGGTTAGAAGGCGTGTCTCTATCTCTTCTCCATGTGGGTGACTTGTGCAGATATTCCGGTAATCTGACTAGAGATATTATATGCCCATAGCAAGGTGACCTTCCCTCCGACTTCCAAGGATCCAGTATTTTATACCGGTGCTAATTAACTTGGAATATTCTAGGCTGGATCTGGGAAGGACAACGCATTACGCTTTGCTTGGAGTCAACGGCACCCGCGGACAGCGCATCTCCTGCTATTTGCGCCAAATTTCCCCCCAACTGCGCATCCTGTGCCACTTGTTTTAGAGTCAACCACGTACTACTTGCCCATCGGTTGTGGCCGCCTATCAGATCTTTACCTCTTAATTAAAAACAGCGGATGATTTCCCACAACATTGCCAGACGCAGAGTACGTTGTGCCATAATCAAGGGGTTGACCTTGTGAAGAGAGTTTTGATTTGCCAACTTTACCTGTACCTCCGATCTAAGTAGAGAACCATGGCCGTCCGTTTCACAATCTATAGAAATGGGCTTGTACCTAGCACGCTCTATTTATTTTCTCTTTCTGAGGTTGTACTCATAGCTTCAGCCACAGCATAGAGCCACTCATGCACAGGCAGATTTCCTGCAACGCGATAGGTAAAATATATAGCAAAATGGGTTCCCTGTTGCTTTGGGGCGATCGATACCAGGCCCAACGACAAAATCACCATCAGAACCTTCATCTTTCATTCTTAACACCCTCAGATTTAACACTTAGTCGGTATGGCCAAAGACCGTTCCCCTAGCCGATTTTACCTCCTTACGTGCCCTCGAACGGCTTCCAACCTGCTTATGAAAATCCTAGCACTCGAGGGACAAAGTAACGTTGCCTACCGTGAGGATGGAGGCTACTTTTTCTCGCCACTCCACCTACTACGATACGACCTAAACTGCGTTGGCACACATGTTGAAGAATTGACACTCGAACAAAAGGAGAAGCAGATAGCTTGCATCAAGAGTTGTTACAATACTCTTGTTCAGCATGTTGAGGACGCTGAATCGAACGGAAAGCTCGTCATTGTGAAGGAGCACACGCATTACCTGACGGACCCAGTAGCCGAGACTGAATTCCTCCACGGCGAGGGATGCGTTACTAACGAACTACCTTGGGTGATGCATGGAATAGATGATTTGGTGCAAAGTACTGATGGCCGGTCAACTAATAACAAGACCGTTTTCTCGGACGATTTCCTAAAAACGTGGCGACCTATATTTTTAATCAGGCATCCAGCACTGGCTTTTCCATCATGGTATCGTGCCGCGGTCAGGGCAGACGGTGAGGAAAAAGCCAAGTCAACCCAAGGGAAACGCGCGTGTAAGAAAGTCATGACTCTGCGCTGGACACGGAGATTATATGACTTTTACGCTCAGGAATCCGATAAAACCAATGCTACCGGTACGGACCTCAGGGAGGGAAAGAATAAGGGTGCATGGCCTCTGGTTCTCGATGCGGATGATATCATGACGCAGCCAGAGGTTATTATCAAGTTTTGCAACATTGTTGGTCTGGATAGCGACAAGTTGAAGTTCAACTGGGAGAAGGACGAGCAGCAGAGACGGCCCGGTATCATGGCATTCAGGTCAACTATTGATAGTTCGACTAAGATCGACCCGACCAAGGCAGCTGGCGTTGTTGATATTGACCAGGAGGCACAGAAATGGCGGGAGGAGTTCGGGGAAGAGATTGGGTGCCTGGTGGAGGAGTACGTTCGAGCCGCGATGCCGGACTATACCTACCTGAAATCCAAAAAGCTCGTAGCATAAACAGTGTATATTATAGCCCTCGGTCTCATATAGTTATCCTGCTCACATTCTTGTGGTGTTCAAATTCATCCAAAGTCAACAAAAAACCTAAACAAAATTCATCTAGAGTTTTGACCAAATTTCGGGTAACAGGGGTTAGAGTTATTATATAATCATGTTTGCGCTGTTTGCATCCGCAGCTGCTGGACCTCGGAACTTCGTTTGGCGCCCAAGAAAGCAACAGCCGACGAAGCGAGCGAACGAGGAGCCGCTGGGCAGCTGTCTAGGTTGCTGCACTGTATATAACAGATGATATAGACCGGAGACGGGAGCTCACGGTCTATCCAGCTGTATTCTGGTCCCTGCTTCGAACTATACTACGGCTTCTCCTCCCGTCCTTCGTCACATCCAGAGCATTATGACGGCTGTTGCTAAGAAGCGGTTACAAGCCATCAGCCAGCAGCTGGTAGAAGGTATCCCTGATGCTGGCGAGTTTGAGAATATTCCTAGGATCCGGGAGGTTGCTCAGGACTCCCTTGGGCCGTGAGACGCCTTTTTCATTATTGGATCTTTGTCTGCAGTGCTGATGAGTTGCGATTGCAGAAGAATCAAGGACAAGGTCGTGATTATAACCGGTTGGTTGTTTACCGCTACTCCGTCTACTGATTGAGATAGTGCTAACATATCTTTGCTTGAAGGAACTAACTCTCCCATCGGAATCGGACGAGCAACGGCTCATCAGTATGCCCGCCATGGTGCCAAAGCTATCTACATCTGTGACTTTGCGGATTCACATCTCGACGTTCACAAGCGAGAGATAGAATCCTTGTACCCTGGCGTCAATGTTCATACAAGGCAGTTTGATGCTGGAGATGAAGAAGAAGTCAAGAAGCTTGTTGACGACGTGATAGAAACCTATGGCCGGCTGGACATCATGTTCGCTAATGCGGGGATCGTCGGGGCACCGAAACTGTTTACCGAAGTCTCTGGGGAGGAGTTCATGCAAACTATGGATACGAATGCCAAGGGGTAAGCCTTTACTTCGATCATGTTTCAAGATACCGGTTTGATGATTAACTGGTGGTCACAGCCCCTTCCTGGCTACCAAGTATGCTTCTATAGCTATGAGGAAGACATCTCCTGCCAAACCGTACCCAGCCGGAAGCATTATTCTCACCGCTTCTGTTGCTGGTATGCGGTCCAACGCTGGTTCAACAGATTACTCGGCCAGCAAAGCTGCCGTCATTTCGTTGGCTCAAACATGTTCATTCCAACTAAGTGGTACTGGGATTCGCGTCAATGCAATCTGCCCTGGTGTGGTAGAGACTGGTATGACAAAGGCAATGTACGACCATGCTCGTAGCAGAGGAACGGAGAAGAAAATTGGACAGCTGAATCCATTGATGAGAGGGGCCGTTGCTGATGAGATCGCTCGTGTTGCCTTATTTCTAGGTAGCGACGAGAGCAGTTACGTCAACGGTCAGGCATGGGCGGTCTGTGGAGGTTTGAGTGCCGGACATCCATTTGTGCCTGGAAAACTAGCATAGTGAAGGTTAAGATATTATATATGATTTTCCAATATGGGTACATATGTATACAAAATCAACATGGCGTACAATTCGGTATTTCCTATTCCATATATCCTGGGTTTTCTCGGATACCACGAAATGCAATACCACGACTATTCAAAATATGATGCAACATTTGCTTCCAGGTCTTTCCTGAGTACTTCCATTACCTTTAAAGCATTCAACTCAGCGAGTCTTTTTCCTTCTTCGCTTTCCTCTTCATCTATTTCCCCTTCTTCACCGGAGCCGTCTGGGTCGATATCATCTTTAAACTGAGTTATGTACTGTTCTTCCAGCAAATACTTTTCACCTGATATCTGGTCTGGAGAATGCTCAAGCACATAAAAAGTGGGGAATTCGAGGACGGTTCTGTCACGAAGCACCGCTCCCAAGGCCATTGACTGGTCTGCTACCGGTATGAGAACCGGAACTTTGGCGCATGTCTGCGGCCTGTGCAGGTAGATATGTAGTTGAGTTGATGAACCATCATTGTTAGTGAGAGGGTTATCTTCGGGTGCTGGTGGAGCTGTGGATGTTAGAGATACTGGTAGCGGCGTTAGGGGGGTCTCGCATTCGTTTGCGGACGGGAATGCAGGTCCAGGGCTCAGTGTTTTAGATGAAGATACATCGTCTGGGACGGGATCACCCCCTTCTTCCACGCTTACAGAACCTTCAAGGGTGCAAGATGTGACTGTGCTCCCTTCCACTGGATCGATAGCATCGTTCCTGGCGTTCTTTTCAATGGATACTTTCCTCTTTTTTGCCGGAGGCTCTGTGATCTTCTCATCGTTTACGCAGCTGGCAAAACCTAGTTCCTTAACTAGGGGCACGCGAGTGAGTGCCGTTCCAACGCTGGTACTCTCTAAGCACTTGGTTATCGTTTTCTGGCCATTAGGGAATATCCACTCAACCGCCCAGCTCAGACATCTTCGTCTAGGGGCATAGATCAGCTTGCATTCATCAGCCATGACAACGGGATGCAACGGGAAGAAACTCACTTTCTATGCCAATGGGATGTATTCAGTTTGTTCCGCGTCATTCCCTTTGGAGCTTTGACAATGTGCACGCCACTGTTCTCCATGCCACGCTGCAAGGGCAGCTCGCCTCGTGCCATATCACCCCGTTGCTTTGCCTTGCCTCCATCGGGATCGGGGTTGGGGATGAGATCAATCCCTCGGGATTCGGCATCGACTTCGGCACGCTCGAGTGACCTTTCGATGCCTGTGAGAAAGTTGAAGTCCTTGTCAAACGCAGCTGGTGTGGCCAATTCGTTTCTCTTGAGGTATTCAGCTGGGTCTCGGATGCCAGAGCATTGTGACCACAGCTTATGGCGTTTGGAGCAGGCTAGCGAACACGTGCGGCTAGCGCACCGGGGGCACTTGTACTTTTGCCTCTTTTCATGGCTATTATCCCATCATTCTATTAGCTTCGTCCCGGATCCTCTGCCATTCCTCCATGTCACCGACAGTTTGACCGCCCTTCTGCCGGTTGCGTTAAGAATCGACATACCAAATTGCGCACAGTTGCGTGAGAGGCAGCTCAGCGAGCTGGATTTCCTTGTCCATCTCTCTCTCATTAATTCGATTCTTAGCTTCTTGGTTTCAGCAGCGTTGGCTGTTCGTCTTTGCTCTTTTATCTTCGCCGTCGCCGTCTTATTCTTGCTCGAAGCTCAAAAAAAAAGTCGATGAGCTCATAATCACGTGAAAACTCTTATCGATAAATCTTGGGTAATCAAGTGTTATTCGAGGAGGCGAAAAAAATTAGATTAAATTAAATGAAAATGAAGATAAACGAATTTGATATATATAAAAATAACCGGAACGAAGATGCAAAAAAAAGGTGAGCTGTGCCTTCTGGGGTTTTTTTTTTCGATGGCGATGCTGTAGATCGTCTGGTTTCAGATAGAAGAACTTGGAAGCGGAGCCACGAAGCTCTTGTGTGTCCGGAGTACCGATTTGTCTTCATCTCTGTCAAACGTCATGCGTAAATGAAAGGGGGCCACCCATGCTGGAGTCGGGGGATTCTATGTAGGGGGTCGGGGCCTTTTGAGAGCTTCAAGTTCTGCAGCGGATTATTGGCTCCCTTTTGCTGGATTTCTTCATCCCGCTCCACACGTGTGCTAAACCTCCATGATGGGGCAACTATCAGAGACACACACAAGCCAGCCGTAACTATAAACCCCCTTGGAAAGAAAGCAGACGATGATGAAGAGCAGCGGCAGATAGCAAAGTGCCAGGAGAAAGCCTTGGGGTGCGTTGTTTGTTTTTTCGACTCCTGTCCTCTCCTCGCTGGCTGCTTGCTCTCTCTTCTCTTTTTCCTGGGCTTTCTTTTACCCGTCCACGTCCCACGCTGTGGCAGTTTTTCGGGTGGAGAAAGAGGGATCGTCGGGGTTAATATCTGAGCGATGTGAGCAGTTATAAAGTCGGACAGACGGTTGATGTGTTATAAAACTTCCTGTCTGGCCAGCTAGTATGTTCAGGACGGGACTGGACCCCAGGACATGGCACAAGCTGGCTTTTTACCGTTCCATCACTATCTCTGATGTGCCCCCCTGTCTGTTCTCCTCTGTCTGCTCGTATAATTGGCACTCAAATGGAGGAGAATAATATAACAAGAGCGAGACAGAGGCGTTAAAAAGGAGTGAAGGGAATGCTGTGATGGGTTTTCGCCTCCTGCAGTAGTCTATCTTTCCCCTTGTCCTGATGTTGGCTACCCCCTGTTTCCTCGTTGGTGCTCCTCTGCTCGTCTCCTGTCAAGCTTGCTCTTTACCAGGAACGGAGTAAATCCCGGGAACGTTGAGCCCATGTTCCTGGCTAGCCTGAGCCCCCGATTGGCGAAGCACTGGTGCAGCTGCAGTAGCGTAGAAGTCCGTGGGGCAGGGCCTCGAGTTCGCCAGCGGCCGAGCGAGCCTGTCCCTGTCCCTTTTTTTTAAAACTATATTGCTTTTTCCTCCTGGTCTGAATCCTCTTCGTTTCTCTCGCTCTCGTCTCGCCCTTTTCTGGCTCGTTTTTGCTGGAACAAGACGAGCTCAACAACGAGCCCAGAGTTTGGGCCTAAAAGTCCGTGGTGAAACCTTCGGGCCAATCCGTGTCGCTGGAAATTCGAGGGAGGACTGGCATCCCTCCCCCCCTCCTCTGATGCCAGGCGTAAATTCAACCCTGTGGCAGCCAGCAACGAGCAAAGCCAGGGAGCATCCATTCGGTTTAGCCTGGCCTGTAGTGTGCCGTCAAGGTCCTGATCCTCTTATCCACCCGGTCGTCCCTTGCCCTGCTGCCCCTGACCCTTGTTTGCGTACCTTTTCTCCTCGAATTCCAGCAGCTCTCTTTTCCTTCATCCATCCTGAGTCGATATCCCTTCTATCGCTCGCCTCTGCCCTCACCTCTGTTCGTCTTGTTCGTTTTTCTGACAGCCGGTGCTGACGGCTTGCTTTCTCTCGCGATTCCATGCAGCCTGGGGCTCGCTGTGTCCATCGTTGACGGCCTATACTTTTCGTCCTGCATATATACTTCCTCTCCCGCAGCACATATCAAGAGAACCCCTGGTGCTTGTTCCCTTTCACGGAGAGGACGAGAGTCGGCTACCCGAGCTTTCCTGCGCAGGGCTTTCGTGCATATAAGCCGTTTGATCTCCTCGTAGGGAAGAGAAAAGAAAGGGGAGGGGAAGAGAGAGCGTTTGTCTGAAACGGCTGTCTCTGTCACAAAAAAAAGCTGGCCCGACTCGGAACTGTGTGTATGACCTATCCGATCCTCGATATATTCACATTTCCAATTGTGTTCTGTGTAATGCTGCCCGTATTGGGGTTCCTGGGATGCTGTGGGAGGTGATCAAGTTGCTAACATCTCAATTATCGCGGGAGTCACAGGGAATCCGTCGTCTTGTCGTCATTTATATCTTGTTTTTTAATATCTTCCACGTCTGCTGTTGACACAGCACAAAACGGCCAGCAGCAGCGGCAACGACAATAATATATAGGCCTTAGATATCATAATAGCCACAGGAAATCTAGCCATGGCTCCCTCGTTGCGAGAGCGTGCCTCTTTTGTGCGGCCTACGACCAAGGAACGGCCAGCGACCCGCGAGCAGGCAGAGTCCCTTACGATCCCCAGCCGGACGTCCTCGCTGCACTCGCGGATAACACAGCCAATTCCGTCGACTTTGAACATGAAGCCGGTGCAGAAGACGCCCAAGACCCTCACGCATGCGTACATGGTCTGCGGTGTTGGCCGCGAGCCATCGCAGTGGGTGAAGGCCCCACCGCCGTCGCAGGGCAAGATAGGCCATATGAAGGGCGCCGTGGGCCAATTTTGGCTGCCAGAGATCCTGGGCAGCAGCCCGAGACTCGAGCAGGACAACGAGATAGCCAAGTCTCTGCATGCTGCCATGCGGGTGCGTTGTGTTCTGCACATCCATTCTTTCTACTAGTTACGTGTTGTATAGGGGAGTACGCTGGCTAACCGATGTATATACAGGCGTGTTTCCCCCATGATGTCGAGATATGCACCGGCAAGAACCAGCCTCACTGTGTTCACCATGCGTTCGTCCTCCAGCAGGACTCTTCTCACACCCTCTACGGCATTGCCCTGAAGGTCTGGTCTCGGGCAGACGAGAAGCGTGCCGAGACCATCAGGGAGTTGCGTAAGAAGACAGAAGTCAACTTCTACGACAACGCAGAGGAGATATATTGGATCCCTTACTGCCTCAGCTTCCTCTCCAGATACCCCCTTTACAATCTCCTAGGTGATTATCTCCGTGGAATGTGGATCCATTGGAATAAGGCCACCAATCTGTTCCATGCAGAGGAAGTTTCCAGAATCCTCAGCTTTCCGGCGCCCCGTCTTAACGACCTGGTGCGTATTGACATGAAGGACTATGCACTGTGCTATCAGTTCCCTTCGTCCCCCACTGGCTATCAAAACTTTGCTATGTGGCCTTTGTTTTCCTGTCTTTCCATTCCAAACATCGTGGGTGTCATTGAAGCCGCCGTTTCCCCTACCCGTAGAATCATCTTCGTCAGCCATTACCCTGCTATCTTGACCGTTGCTACTGAGACTATCCGCTATTGCGTCCGAGTGTACGAGTGGAGTGGCCTGTATAATCCTGTCGTGCATGCCAGACATGTCAAGGAGCTCGTTGAAGAGCCTGGCCCGTATATCCTTGGTGTAACTACCGAATGCCGGGATCTGTTCACTGCTCCAACAGATGCATTGGTTATCGACCTAGATCGCAACTTTGTATTAACCTCAAGTCCTCCAAACATCCTCACGCAGGGCCAGAGAAATAAGATGATCACTCGTCTTACCCAGGCTTTGAACGGGGAGGTGACTCCAACCGGACCTCCTCCCCACCTTAGATCTGCTTATGGTGGTGGAAAGCTAGTTCCAGCTGGTCAGATCATCGTCATGAGGGGAGAAGTTGAAAGTGTCCAGGACCCCCAATGGTGGAATCAGGATGCTGTCATGGCTGTCATGGACCATGTTTGCGAGAAATTGGTACGTTTTATATTACCCCAGATGAAATATACCAGTTACTAACGTATGTCACTAGGGTCGCAATACTGGTTTGAAAGCTGTGTTTGGAGGATCAGTCAAGAAGCCATTGATGACCAAGGTGTCCATGAGACATCTTAACGAGATCGTCCGTGAACGTAACCAGTACTCCAGAGATGCTCTTGAAGCCTGGCAAGACTTCATTAATCTCAAGGGTAGAATGGATACTGAGTTAACCAAGGTCACCAAACGCAACAACTTCCTTGTCGAGGAGCTCGAGACCTGGAAGCAGCAATTCCTCAAGTTCCAGAAGTTTGCTGAACAGCTTACCAAGGAAACGTCAGAGCTCAAGGTCAAGATTGAAACGCATAAGCGTGAAAGTCGCCGCCTTACCAGTCTTATCGACCAGCAGAAGGATGATATCATTCGCCTTACTCTGCGTCTATCTGGCACTGAGAAGCAGCGTGATGATGCCCTAGAGGCTCTAGTACTTCAGCAGGAGATTGCTGAAGAATTGGAGCGCGAAAGAAAGCGCAACGAAAAGGAGATTGCTTCTCTACAGCATACCAATTCGAATCTCTTGCGCCAACGAGACGATGCTCAACGTGTCGTTATTCACCTCCGGAGCCTTATCAATGGGCAGGCTCACCACATGGAGCACATTGTCCGCTCCATCGACAGCTCTCCCGAGTTATCTCGGTACGTTGAAGAAGGCCATGATATGTCAGCTGAGGATACTGCCAAAGGTGATGAAGAACCATCCAAACCCCAAGATTTCGGCAATAAAACCGCCTCGAGCCGGAAATCCAGCTCCCGTCTCAGTAACCGGTCTGCTACTCCCACTCTGTCAGATGACGCCCCTACCAATGCGGACAACCGCATGTTGAGCGTCGACAAGAGGAGACGCTCCATAAGACTAAGCATGTCTGACGTAGCTGATAGACATCTCCGCGACAAAACCGATGCTATTGCAGACATCATCCGCACCATCAGCGATCAGTGTGCCGCCGCCGTCGAGGGTCTCCAGCTTGCCCAAGCAGACTTCGATAACTCCGAGCTCTCCAAGCACAACTCAAGCCAAGAAGGAATGGACCTCGACCGACCCAACGGAAGCGAGGCGGACGACAACGAGAGAGCGAATCTCAGCCCCGATGGCCGTCAGTCTACTATTCCCCCTACCCCCGACCTTGTCCCAAACCGGTCAAGCACGTCAATGTCCATGGCCAGCAGTTCAACGTTCCAAGAGCGATCAAGCCAGCAGTACGGACCAAACGAAATACCCACGAAAATAGTAGAACATGATGACGAGCATGCTCATGAGACAGCGCAGGAAGAAGAAAATGTTAACTCAATGGACAAGACACCCAGTGGCCCTAATTACATCAGGCCCGGAACGTCAACTTTACTCTCATAGACGTATCTGCCTCCATATTTCCTTTTTTTAATATCCCTTTTGCAATCACATTTCTCAATTATACCTTTACTGCCCTTTACTCATTATACCTTGTGTTTGGTCCTGACTTGATATCTGGCTATCTTACTCTTATTCCCCATTTTCCTTCTTTTCCCCTTATTTACTATTAACCTCTTTATTCCTGTCCTGTTATTCGCCTGGTTTGCTGCTCTGTTATATATATCATCACGCCTTATCTATACCTGAGATTACACCTACTTTCATATGTCTCTGCGTGGCCTTTACTTTTCCCCGTTATATTTCTCCCTCTCCTTTGTTCTCTTTCTAACATTTCGAGTGGACTTCTCGTATCTCCTTTCTCGTTCAGTATATGTATACATCTTGTACACCTTTCATCCTGCACCCTGTTTTCCCCCAATGCAGCAATATAATAGCAAAGCTACTCACTTGACTGTAGCTTTTGACGTTTGCAAAATAGAAATCAAGCGAGTTCACTTCAACTCTTGTCTCGATCCCTCTAGTATTGGAAAGCTATAATCTCATTTTCGACGGTATTTTGATCTGGGAAAGTGGGAACTAATAGGTGTAGGACCGTCTTGGGCTTGCCCATGCCAGGAGAAGGTATCCATACGTTTCATTCACCGACAAAAGTTCCAACGGGGACCTAACGGAATGAAGGGGATATCAGCTAGCACCTCCTTATGAACGCGAGTGAGGTTAGTCTCGATCTCCTTTCGAACCTTTGCACAACCTCCAGCTGTAGATGGCTAGTACTCCATGTGCCAGATATCTTCAATCATCACATCGAAATGAGCCGGCCATTGATGATATCCACGATAAGCAACCAACATGCAATGTCACTTATTGCTTGTGGGAGAAAAATGCAATGGAGTCCGTATCTGTATACCACACACTCCGTATGTATTTCTAATTTTAGGTCGAGCTTGAAAGGGGTCTCTTGACCACCACCTGCAACTAATAATATATCTCGTAGCGCCTTTATTTGTATATGGAAAGCAATGTTTGTGCACAAAAAATAACCATTTTTTACCCCTGAAACTCCGTGAGGTTGGAGTTGCGTATCAGTAATACTGTGTATTTTTGTTTAACTAGCAGTAATTTAAGGTTAGTCGTGGTAATTTTCGTATTATCTCATATATATGTAATTTCAAACTTCAACGATAATTCAACAAACGAAGAAACGAAGAAACGACATGAAAATATTGATATTGCTCTGGAGGCCGGGACGGGGATTCCCATATACCCATTATGACGAGACCCCTCAGAGTACATTAGGGAGCCATAAGCTTAGAACGGACCCAATAATGCCAAAAGTGCCAAAGATAGCACTCTCTCCGGCAGATGTGACGAGAACGCTCATGTCAATAGTTTTTCCACGGCTGAACGACGGCGCTGATATCAGTTTAAACCTGGCCTCCACTCTATAAGCCCCATACACAAGTGAGCACTACTACAAGAACCCTATACAGAACTCCTTCACAGTTGCCGATGTTATACTCAAGGCGGTTGAGATGAGACTCCGGAATCCGGACAGGTGGCAGAGAGCTTGACCTGGCCATAATGATACAGGATAACTCCATTAATCAGTCATGCCACCATGGATGCTGGGATGGCCTTGTTCTTGCGGAAGACACCGTGCGGGGTACTCCGTACCTACTTCTATGTGGGACCAGGAGAGCGTTTTTACGTCATGGCTCGTTCATCGTCAAATAGAGAGGTTGATGCCCATAGCCTCATAGGGCTCAAGAACTGCACTATGTGAAAACGCCAGGAAGACGTCTGAAAGGCAGCGTAGCTCAATCAACGACTATTGGATGGTGATGTATGTGATATGCCCTAGGCCCTAGAATGACTATCTACGAGTGACAATGTCTTTTTTCAGCCCTTTCTTGAAGGTGAGCTGCTACCAATAATGCTGATCGAGATTCTCAAAGTTTCTAAGAAAAGGGCCTAAATCGAACAAGGAGCGGTTTATTATTATTGTTCATTATTACTAGACTTGCTCGATGGGACTCAGTTCGGCGAGGAATCCAAACATAGGCAAGTGGGACCAGCTTATTGAGTGACTCTTGTTTCTCTCACTAGCGGCACTCGTCTGTCTCTTTACTTCCAGCTGGAGTATTGCTTGAGGCAGTACTCTGTACAAATATAGTTTGAAAGCACTGTGCGGTTGATGGAGGTTTTATCCACTGAGCCAGGGCTTTCTCGATTGTGGTATATCTGGGGCGCTCCGGCCAAAAGAATTTGACAGGAACGGTTTGCATTAATTTCTGGGGAAGTGCAGGCTATTTCCCATATATGCATGCGATGGTCTCACACTGTCCTCATCAACGCTTCAATGAATGGCATCAAATCCGGGTTGGGATAAAGGAACCTAGCGAGGATCTACAGTACTAACTGGCGGATATGCAAACCATATGCCGGCCTCCATGTCCGCATTCAATAGTCGGAGATTCACTGGCCTGGGGAAGAGGCAGCAAGAAACTAAAGGCTATTATCCTAAGTTACACGAGTTATGAGGTAACAGAAATAAAAAAAGGGTGAGGCCCCTCCTGACGGCGAATTTATACTGAGGGCTAAGGTTGCCACTCACAGAAGATCAACCCAAAAGACGTTCTGGGCAGCGCCAACGGCAACTGTGAATGGCTGTCGGACAACACGAGCACAAGATGAATGTCGAGGCATGAAAGATGACTGTTGTACAATCTGCCGCTGGTCACGAATACCTGCCACACGCTACCCCTCCCATCGACAGGTTCACACTTCCAGGGAGGCGAAAATAGCCAGGGGTATTTCCGTGCCTCGAATGATTTCTCTTAAGCAGGGATTCTCTTGGTGGTTTCGGAACTAGTCACCCATATGGTGCGATAATCCGTGCTCTCCATCTACCCGTCACAACCGACGGGGTTATCAGATTGTTATGCAGCTGTCCTTGTCAGCCCACTGTTTGTCCGAGGAGATGGAGCGGGTTGTGGCTCAAGGAATTCTCTAGAAGGAGCCCAGTCCACCGCCAAATTCTGAGATGTCGACGGCCACTGCCACTGCCGCCTGCATCGCACATTGCATCTACTCCATACGGAGTACATACATTTACGGAGTAACTAGCGCACACTGGTCAAGCCGTGCGATATTAGACTAGCGCCTCGATGCAGGCCTCTCAGCCTCGAGAGCGCCAGATGAGTGGGCCTCGATTGCCACTAGTGAAGAGATATTACGAAGATAGTCGAGAAGTTTGCACGAATAAGATATCACTAGGTCAACGTTCTTGCAGGGCCTTAAACGCTGCTGGTTGAAGTAAACGAGCTACTCCATTGCGGCACAAGAAATTTACTGGATCCCCTTCCTGTTCTCCGGAAGAAAAGGATCAGCCCCATCAGGCCTAGAATGCATGCAGCTAACCTGTTGGGCATTGAATGGACTGACATGTTGTACTGAAGCCTCAGTCAAAATATACGACAGGACGCTAGTTAAGATGGCAGTTTATATAAGTGTGTCTGCGTCTCCCCAGGATTCTTCTGCTGGAAGGTGCTGTTTCAGGTTGATACTTTTATCCAGCAAACAGAGCCCCCGGGGCCAATATCTTTTATTAGATATTCTATGGCCATTCACAGTCTCGTGTTATCATCCTCGAACCAGCCATACGCCCACCAGCTCCAAGATTGCTCATCAACGACACCGGCACTATGAATTGGATATTGGATCTGTTTACCATGGCCCGGGAGGAGCATACCGCTTTGCTAGCCAACCGTGGGTTTGGTGGACTGTCGCCCGACCAGACAGCAGCCCTGGAGCGATTTAATTTCCCTCTACTTCGCATTCACTACAGATATTTCCCGCTGGTGGTCACCATTGCGCTCATGTCACTCATTGCAACGGTCTGCTCATTCGCCATCATTACATATCGACTTGTTTTTTGGCGAAGATTTTCAGCGACTTACCTCGGCTATAATCAATATGTCATCCTTATCTATAACCTGATTATCGCAGATATGCAAACTGCCGGCGGTGCTATCATGACACTTCACTGGTACCGGGTCGGCCATATAGCAGGGAGTTCGAACACATGCATTATCCAGGGATGGCTATTCCAAGAAGGGGTTCCAACCAGTGGCTTATTTGTCTCGGCAATCGCAATACACACGTTCATCACCGTCGTACTAGGCCGAAAATTGAAATACCGGACTTTTGTGTGCTGCGTGGTTGTGATCTGGATGTTCGCCCTGTTCCTCACTGTGTTACCTATCATAATGGAAGGGAAACACGCTTATGTGAACTCCGGCGCCTGGGTATGTGGACAATCTTTATAGTCCCTTTATGTTTTTGTCTCTTCGTATGCTGACTTAATTTATAGTGTTGGATTACTGCAAACCGTGAGGACTTGAGACTGGGAACTCATTACATTTGGGTCTTCATTTCACAGTTTGGAAGTGTCACTATCTATATCATCCTCTTCTTCTACCTACGCCATAAGGTCGCTATATCTGCTTCTCTTACCCAGAGGTCTCAGGACAAACTCTCCCGCCTAAGGCGCGTTGTCAGGCTCATGATTCTCTACCCAATTGCCTATATATTCCTGTCGCTACCCATTGCTGCCTCCCGGATGGCTACTGCAGCTGGCGCGAAGCCTTCATTTACCTATTACATTATCTCGGCAATGATAATGTCGGCATCTGGGTTAGTTCACACGGTTATTTATGCGGTTACCCGACGAGCATTGATCTTGAACTCCGAAGTGACTCAACATAAAGACGGATACGGCCCTTCATCAGCAATTCAGGAAAGCAACTCCCCAAGAGATCTTGAAAACACTGCCTGCACTACGCTTGTTAGCAGTGATGGGCCCATATCACCAAGCAGTCCGACTGGCATGTACAAGAGGATGTATTCTCGGATAAACGGCACATCCAGCCCAGCGTCGAACGAGCAGTACGAAATGAACGGCGTTTATCAGCAAACAACAATCTCCGTCACAACAACTACTATATCACCGCCAACCAGAGGAGGCAACCCGCCGACTCGAGGTGGTAAAGAAGATACATCATCTGTAGCGACGGACGGTACAATATCTTGACCATACACGCCTTGAATGCTTTTTTTTTTGGTTAACTTTTTTCTATATTTTCTTCCTGTACATAGTCTATTTTATGCTTTATATATATCCACAAGTTACCAACATACGCCTTTATAATAACTAATTGATTATCTTGAGAAAACGAGCATTGTTGCCGTTAGAAAGTCGGCCATGCGGATGGTCTTAGCCAGACACTCCGTAAACGAGTAGCTGACCCATGGCTTTCCTATCGCTTATTTCGACATCGAGATAGGATATCTACAAAAAAATAGATAAAAAGAATGGAAGGAAAAAGCAAAGGCGGTTACCTGATAGGTCGCCACTGAAACGTCGAAGAACACCACCAGTGATCTTCAACGCGGCTTAGAAAGCTGTGATGTCTTTGAAGCACTAGTGAGGAATTAAGGGGCGGTTCGGCTAGAGAAGACGAAGAGACGGTTGTTTCTCCGTGGTTATGGATGAGGTGTCCTATATATGCTCAGACCACTATCGGCGAACTTTGGTCTTGTACGGAATAACTGCTGGTTGCTGCAAGTTTTGATATTAAACGGAGACGGGCATGCGTTTCTCTAATATCAGCTAGATTGTAAGGGCCTGTTAGATGAATCGAAGCCCTGCGTGCATTCAATGGGGTCTCAGCGGTACTGTCGTATATTCTCTTATTCCTGAAATCACATAATGTCACAAGAAACGCTGCAGCAATGAAATCAAGTCCCGATCAATGCTCCGTCAACGTATGGATGTACACGGGTAAATACACAAATATAACAAGGTGGATGGACAGGCTGGCTAGAAAAACAAAGTGCGGGCATGTGCCAAACTCCCATATACTCACATACAGTACTTTAACAGGTCATTCATAAATCGAACAGCAATGAAGAAAGCATGATATATAACAAGATTTGGGATAACATGACAGGGAAGATGGCATATAAGTTGATTGTGGTATGATATCAATAAACGGAAGAGGGGTATATATATCAGAGAAAGTACCATGTCTTTATTTATTTATTTATTTTTTTTTTTCTGGAGTCAAAACTCGATTCGATGCTTGGTTTCACTGGTTGGGTGAGGTTGGGTTATTTGCTCCGCCTGTTAGATATTCTGGAGGAACTTTTGGTACTCTGGGAGAAGTAGCTGACTGTACAATGGCCCGTTGTTGGGCTCTTAATAGCTCGCGTTGACGATCTCTGTCTCTTCCCGCGTTGTTGCCACCGGTCAGTCGGCGAACACCACTTCGAATCATGGTGTCTAGAGAAAAGGAGCCGCCTTCGGGGTTGCTATTGCCAATGATGGCTGCACGGGAGGTAGAGGATGATGGATACTGAAGCGTTAGGCGATCTTCGGAGTCCGATAACGCATCCTCAATATCGTCATCGGAGAGGAAAGATCGCCCGATATAACCGGGCTCAGGAGTACCCGGATTGCCATTGTTGTTGCCAGACTGCGGGTAATAATTGCTTGGTGATGTAATTGAACGGGTGTGGAGGGATCCGCGTCGTGGCTGGTTAGAAGATGAAGAAGTGGTGCTTAGAGGTGAAGGGTGGATAGAAGGGGTACCAACACTGTTAGAATCAGTGCGTGTAAGAGGAAGCCTAGAATCAGCGAAACCATTGTGGAACGAAGACGATGAGGCTGTTCTAGCTAGAGACTTTCGTAATAGAGGAGCCGTATGCTGGTCGTATAAGTGTGTGCTTGCATCTGGAAACTCATTCGATGTAAAGCTATGTAGAGACGCTCCGGTTATT